CTGAAGAGCTGAGGGACAGTGCCCAGGCCCAGAGTTCAAGCTCCACGACTGGACCTCTCTGCTGTACAGAGAGGTTACGGTTACATCGGTAAAGTAATGAGTACATTTCTTGTTGGGCATTATTGCCCCTCCTTTGTTTTTCTCCCACTGAGAGACTCGTCTCCAATTAACCACCAGAAAAGTCAGAAGTGGAGCTGTGGCTCACATGGAAGAGCACTAGCCTTGAGTGAAAAATCGAAGGGACAGCATCCATGCCCTGAATTCAAGCTCCAGGACTGACACACACACATAAAAATTAGCTCATGTATAATACCTAATACTATCGCATATATACCAGCCAGTGGCTCATACCTGTAATCCTAGCTACTCAGAAGGCTGAGATATGAGGATCATGGTTCAAAGCCAGCCCAGGCAGAAAAGTATGTGAGACCCTTACCTTCAATAAACTACCAGAAAAACTGGAAGTGGCACTCTGGCTCAAGTGGTAGAGCACTAGTTTTGAGCTGAAGAGCTGAGGGACAGTGCCTAGGCGCAGAGTTCAAGGCCCATGACTAACAAAAAAAATGAGTTTATGCTTAGTGAAAGAGTGCTTGCCTAGTATGAATGAAGCCCTGGGTTCAATTCCTCAGAACCACATAACCAGAAAAAGCTGTGGCTCAAGTGGTAGAGTGCTAGCAGTCTTGCTCAAAGGAAGCTCAGGGAAGCTGGGCGCTGGTGGCTTATACCTCTAATCCTAGCTACTGAGGAGGTTGAGATTTATGGATTTTGGTTTAAAGCCAGCCTGGCCAGGAAATTCCGTGAGACTTTTATCTCCAATTAACCGCCAGAAAACCAGAAGTGGCACTGTGGCTTAAGTGGTAGAACACCAGTCTTGAGTTGAAGAGCTGAGGGACAACACCCAGCCCCATAGTTCAAGCCCCATGACCAACAAAAATAAAAATAAAGACATATATACCACAGAAATAGTTGTTATACTGTATTGTATAGGGAATAATGATATGGAAATATGCCTTACATATTCAGTATTCTCCCCAATTTGAGAAATCTTTATTGCAATCCCACAAATTGAGGACTATTAATCATTCTTGTCCCATCCTTAGACAGGCAATTTCGGTTCAGAGAAGTTAAGTAATTTTTCTAGGGTTACGTAGCTAGCATCTTCTTTATTTATCATAAGCCCTTGCAGGCAGGGTCCAGTTTGAGACAGATGAAATCTGAACAGCTGGGTCCAAACCTCAGTTGGTTTAGCAACAAGACCAAGGGCCAATCACTCCATCACTTCATTCCCTGAAAAATGGGCTGAATGTTTAATTTCCTCATTATATGATCATTTTGAGTGTTGAAATGAGATGATGCAGATAAAATACTTTGCACAAAAATGTCTCACAAATGGTATCTACAAAGACCATGATGAGGGCTGGGAAGATGGCTCAGTGGTAGAGTGCTTGCCTTGCATGCCTGAGGCCCTGGGTTCGATTCCTTAGCACCACATAGCAAAAAGAAAAAAAGCCGGAGGTGGCGCTGAGGCTTAAGTGGTAGAGCGCTAGCCTTGAGCTGAACAGCTGAGGGACAGCGCCCAGGCCCAGAGTTCAGGCCCCACTACCGGACCCAAAAAAAAAAATTAAAAAAAAAAAAAAAAGACCATGATGAGGCCTCATGCTGGTGGCTCATGCCTGTAATCCTAGCTACTCAACCATGATCTGAGGATCACGGTTCAAAGCTACCCAGCCAGGAAAATCCGTGAGACACTTATCTTCGATTAACCACCAAAAAACCAGAAGTGGTACTGTAGCTTCAAGTGGTAGAGTGCTAGCTAGCCTTGAGTGAAAGAGCTCAGGGACAGTGCCCAGGCTCATGACCAACAACAACAAAAAGACCATGATGATGATGATTCTGGATGATTGGATGATCTATAAGTGTTAGTCCAGGGAGGCTCTAATAAATCATGAAAGTCTTCATCTAAATATCATAGCAGCCCTCATCCAGCCTGCAACATACAGCCTGCAGGTGGGCAGGTCTGGACATGGGTAAATAGGGACTATAATTGGACATTGACTTCACTCATTCTTTCCTGACGGAAGGGACCTTCTAATTTTCACACAGGTGAGAGCCAAATTGGCTAGTGGCACTAAAATAGGGGCCATAAGTATGTTGTTCATTGTAGTTTCGTGAAGTCATTGGGGAACACAAGTTGTGAAGGCAAATTTTGTGAGATCAGACCCCAGCTTGGCTACTAACTGAGCAACCTATCTAGTTTATCTGAGCCTCAGTCAAAGTGGGGATGCTAACTGAAACTTTTTATGGTAGTAATGAAGGAAAACAAAAGAAATAATGCAAATAAAGTACTGGCTGTTAGGGTTCCAGTGGTCCAGAGATTGCCATGGAAGGGTGAGGTATCTGAACACAGCCCATAATGAGGTAAGGTCCCTTTCACCAGACATACAGCCTATTCACTATCCAGGAATGGACTGGGTAATGTTTGTTGTTGCTTTATGTTAGTGCTGGGGCTTGAGTTCAGGGCTTCAAGTTCTCACTTGGCTTTTTTTTTTTCCTCATGGCTGGCACTCTACCACTTGAACTATGCCTCCAGTTCCAAGAACTACATAACATTCGACCAGTTTCTTAGTCTGTGTCTGGCAGTCCGAGTTGTTAAAAACTAAACCTTTTGAATACCACCCTATTTACCATCTTGCTGTTTCTTGTCCAGGAGAGGTATCAAAGCCATAAATAGGAAAGGAACTTTTTTTTTGGGGGGGGGGTCCGGTCATGGGGCCTGAACTCTGGGCCTGGGTGCTGTCCCTCAGCTCTTCAGCTCAAGGCTAGCGCTCTACCACTTGAGCCACAGCGCCACTTCCGGCTTTTTTCTTTTTGCTTATTGTGGTGCTGAGGAATCGAACCCAGGGCCTCGAGCATGCAAGGCAAGCGCTCTATCACTGAGCCACCTTCCCAGACCTGGAAAGGAACATTTTCTTTTTTTTTTGTCGGTCGTGGGGCTTGAACTCTGGGCCTGGGTGTTGTCCCTCAGCTCTTCAGCTCAAGGCTAGCACTCTACCACTTGAGCTACAGCGCCACTTCCGGTTTTCTGGTGGTTTATTGGAGATAGGAGTCTCATGGTCTCTCCTGCCCGGGCTGGCTTTGAACCGAGATCCTCAGATCTCAGCCTCCTGAGTAGCTAGGATTACAGGCGTGAGCCACCAGCACCCGGCAGAAAGGAACATTTTTGCGGGTAACAATTTTCGGGTAAGAATTGATGAACTAGCTGGGCGCTGGTGGCTCACGCCTGTAATCCTAGCTACTCAGGAGGCTGAGATCTGAGGATCGCGGTTCAAAGCCAGCCCGGGCAGGAGAGACCATGAGACTCCTATCTCCAATAAACCACCAGAAAACCGGAAGTGGCGCTGTAGCTCAAGTGGTAGAGTGCTTGCCTTGAGCTGAAGAGCTGAGGGACAGCGCCCAGGCCCAGAGTTCAAGCCCCACGATCGACAAAAAAAAAAAAAGAATTGATGAACTCCCGATGCAGGATATTTCAGAAGATACATGTGATTCAGGACATTTGGGAAAGATGCCACAGAAAGAGGCTAGAATTCCCTGGAGGAAGAATGAGAGCAGCTAGAGCTGTCAGGTCTGCAGGCCTGTGTGGATTTGGCTAAGATGCTTGTATGGCTCTGGAAGTCAGATTTTCAGTCGAAAAACGAGAACCCAGGACCTTCTTGTGCCTAGGAGGGAATCAACTGTCAGGTGCTCTCTGGCTGATGAGGGCCATAACTTGGGCTTGGGTCACCTGCTATTCCCTTTGGATGAGCATTCTGGCAAAAGGTGAGGTGAGGGTGGCCTTTGCTCCCTCTTAAAGCCAAATCTGTAGTCCACCAAGTGTCAGAGTTAAAAAGTGAGACCCAAGCCGGGCGCTGGTGGCTCACGCCTGTAATCCTAGCTACTCAGGAGGCTGAGATCTGAGGATCGCGGTTCAAAGCCAGCCCGGGCAGGAGAGACCGTGAGACTCCTATCTCCAATAAACCACCAGAAAACCGGAAGTGGCGCTGTAGCTCAAGTGGTAGAGCGCTCGCCTTGAGCTGAAGAGCTGAGGGACAGCGCCCAGGCCCAGAGTTCAAGCCCCCACGACCGACAAAAAAAAAAAAAAAAAAAAAGTGAGACCCAGGTTTCCTCATTGCTGGTCTGATGACCTTTCCAGTGCCTTCTGGATACCAGAGTAAACAAGGTCCTATGCATGAATCAGTGCTTACCTGGCATAAATCTTCTCTAACATTTATAGGACGGGAAATCTGTGAAGAGGCCTTCTCCTAATTTGAGCATCTATAGTTTGATCCAATTTAAAAAATGCTTTATTTGGATATATAAATAAACTCATTGTGATAAAAGACAACATACAAATCTTTGATTTCCTTTCAGCCCCAAGCCTGAGCCAAGTGCATTTAAGAGTGATCGGTCAAGCCAAGTGTAATCCTAGCTTCTCAGGAGGCTGAGATCTGAGGATCACAGTTCAAAGCCAGCCTGGTTAGGAAAGTCCGTGAGATTCTTATCTCCAATAAACCACCAGAAAACCCGAAGTGGCGCTGTGGCTCAAGTGGTAGAGCACTCACCTTGAGCTGAAGAGCTGAGGGACAGTGCCCAGACCAAGAGTTCAAGCCCCACAACCAACCAAAAAGAAAGAAAGAAAGAAAAAAAAGTGATCTGTCAGGCTTTCCTGAAACAATGAGAATTGAACTGTGCTTGTGCTGCTGTGGTGTTGATGAATTGGGAATAGACAAATTACTTTGTTGCTGTATTTCTCAGGGCCAACAGAGCAAGACTGCAATAATCTGTGTGAGCTTTGAGGTCTGATTGGATGTGGCCAAGCAACCTGACAGGCTCCTGGGAGAGATCAGGGTTTACAGCACAGATCTGGGACCCTCTTTGACCCTGACAGCTTCCCAGTGCCTATTTCCTGGGGTCTCTTCCTTCCTAGTTTCCATCCTGATAACTCTTCTTTCTCTTCCACACAGATCCTTTGACGTGGTTTCTGTTTCTCCACAGGAGGAGGCTGGGCAGAAAGGACTCACTGAGCCACCTCCCACTCTACTCCATGTTGGCTGTGTTCTCAGGTGAGAATGCTGTACAGACTGTAGCTAGGAGAAATTGCACCTAAAGGAGCAGGTTAGCAAGGGCATCCATTTTATCCTGGCTGGGGAGTGACAGGAAATGGTTATGGGGGAGCTTTTTCTCCTTCCAGTGACAGAGAGGTTTGCATTGCATTAATCTGTGACTTTGGAGGATAGAAGGCCTTAGCCTTCACTGTGACCTAAAATATCACTGGCTTTTTCCGGCCTGGATATTAGATATTCTGGTTTTGGACATTGGCCAGACTTGGGTTAACCCCGGACATCTGTGACTCAGATTTCCACCAGATTCTGACCAGCAGCCTCTGACTTCCTCCCAGTTCATCTCCTGGTCTCAGAAGCCCCTGAACTATGTCCAGCCTTTGAGATTCTCCCTGGCCTCTTTCTTTCCCTAGGCTGGCGCCATGCCACCCCCTGCAGAGGTGACAGATCCATCCCATGCCCCGGCTGTCCTGCGACAGCTCAATGAACAGCGGCTCCGTGGCCTCTTCTGTGATGTCACCCTTATAGCCGGAGACACCAAGTTCCCAGCTCACCGCAGCGTCCTGGCTGCCTCGAGTCCTTTCTTCAGAGAGGCTCTGCTAGCTTCAGCCCCACTTGCCCTCCCACCAGTTCCTGGGGGCTCAGCTCCTAATCCTACAACCACCACAGCTGCCTCTTCCTCCTCCTCCTATTCTTCCTCTTCTTCCTCCTCCTCTTCTCCACCTCCAACCTCCCCTTCTGCTTCATCCCCACCCCGGGTCTTGGAGCTGCCAGGGGTCCCAGCAGCTGCCTTCTCTGATGTCCTCAACTTCATCTATAGTGCCCGGCTTGCACTTCCTGATGGTGGAGGGGATGGGGCAGCTGTAGCAGAGATTGGAGCCCTGGGCCGTCGACTGGGCATCTCACGCCTGCAAGGCCTAGGGGAGGGAGGTGATGCCTGGGTACCTCCGACTCCAGCCCCTGTGGCCACTTCACAACCTGAAGAAGACAGCTTCCATCCTGGGCCTAGGCCAGATGGAGAGTGGGAGGATGACAAGATGGAGACCCCAGACTCACAGCCTCCGCTGTCCAGGCGGTCTCTCCCCTGCCCTCGATGTGGAAAAACCTTCATCCATCCCAAGCGGCTGCAGACCCATGAGGCTCAGTGTCGACGGGGAGCCAATTCTCGGGTGTCTACAGGACTGGGAGCTGGAGGCCCTGGCCCTGGTGGTCCTGCAGGAGTGGATGCCTCAGCCCTGCCTTCACCAGTGAGCTTCCGAGGTGGCCCTGAGCACTTGGTGAAGGTAGTGGGTGGCCACGTGCTCTATGTGTGTGCAGCCTGTGAGCGTTCCTACGTGACCCTGTCCAGCCTAAAGCGCCACAGCAATGTGCACTCCTGGCGGAGGAAGTACCCCTGCCGCTACTGCGAGAAGGTGTTTGCTTTGGCTGAGTACCGCACTAAGCACGAGGTGTGGCACACTGGAGAGCGCAGGTGAGTGGCCAGGGCCTGGGTCATGGGAGGAAGTGGGGAGGGGGCAAGAGGACAAGAGAGGGAATGGGCAGAGCATGGGGCCCGGCAAGTCATCCATCCACCCTTGTGTCCTGACCCCTGCTCATTCACCCACCAACAACCTGCCTCCCTCCAGCCCCAGTTCCTTCCTGGTGTGTATCAGCAACTTGCTTGCCATACTGTGGCTTGGTTGCTATGAGGAAAGAAAAGAAGAGATGAGAAAATTATCCTCACTGGAGAAGACTCAGAATGTAGCCATGCCTGCCAGTATTTATAATACTCCAAACTGCACCTGGTATTTCCATAGTGCATCTGTTCCTAAGTCATTTCCCCATTCTGGCATTGGTGCGTCAGAAGAAGGCTTTGGGAGTTAGAATGCACAATTATTCCCAATTCACAGCTGAGGCCAAGAGTCATGCAGTGGGTAGGAGCTGCTGAGCTGGGACTGGGGCCCCACCTGAGGCTGGCAGGGCGAGGCAAGCTGCATGGAAGGAGAGTGAGCAGATGGCGGTGGGCGATAGAGGTTTGAGAGCTATAGAGGACCTAGGAAGCTGAGCGTCTGGTTTCAGAGCTTCTGACATCTTACTCTGTTTCTGCCCTGTTCCCTGTTGTCCTGACCCAGGTACCAGTGCATCTTCTGTTGGGAAACCTTTGTCACCTACTATAACCTGAAGACCCACCAGCGAGCCTTCCATGGCATTAGCCCTGGCCTCCTAGCCAGCGAGAAGACACCCAATGGAGGCTACAAGCCCAAGCTTAACACCCTCAAGCTGTACCGCCTGCTCCCCATGAGGGCAGCCAAGCGGCCCTACAAGACCTACAGCCAAGGAGCTCCTGAGGCCCCCCTTTCTCCACGCCTCCACCCACCAGCCCCTGTGGCCATGCCATCCAGCCCCCCACCCAAACCCCCACCTGCCCCCGAGCCTGGCCCGCCCCCCTCGGTCATCACCTTCGCCCACCCAGCTCCCTCGGTCATTGTCCACGGGAGCGGCGGCAGCAGCAGCGGCGGTGGAACAGGGGGTGGACTGGCCAGCACGGGAGGAGCCCAGGCCGCCTCAGTCATCACTTACACTGCTCCCCCAAGACCCCCCAAGAAACGGGAGTACCCGCCTCCGCCCCCTGAGCCTGCAGCCACACCCACCCGCCCAGCCTCCACCACTGTCAGCCCGGCCACAGCTGCAGGGCCCGGCACAGCCACAGAGGAGACCAAGAGCCGGAATCCTCGGGCAGGGCGGACTCTGACTTACACGGCCAAGCCCGTGGGTGGGGTCGGGGGGGCTGGGGGAGCCGCTGCCGGAACAGGCCGGGGCTCCCAGCTACCTGCTCCGCCCCCACTGTGTCAGATCACTGTGAGAATTGGAGAGGAGGCCATTGTCAAGCGTCGCATCTCAGAAACCGATCTGCGTCCTGGGGATCTGAGCGGAGAGGAGGTGGATGAGAGTGAGGAAGAGGAAGAGGAGGACGAAGAGGAGGAGGAGGAGGACAATGAGGAAGAATCAAAGGCCAGTGGGGAGGATCAGCTGTGGAGGCCCTACTATTCCTACAAGCCTAAGCGCAAGGCTGGAGCTACCAGCGGGGGCAGCAGTGGGGGCAATGGGATTCCCCGAAGTCGACGACCACCACGCTGGAGGCAGAAGCTGGACCGGAGGGGCTGGGAAGAGAGCCCAGCCCTGGAAGTCCCAACAGGGCGGCCACGCGGTGAGCGGAGGCACCACTGTGGGGACTGTGCCCAGACCTTCCCCAACCTGAGGAAGCTTCGGAAACACCAGGAAGCCCATAGTGGGGGCTCGCACAGCTCCAGGACTGGACGGAGGCCTTCTACCCGCTTCACCTGCCCTCACTGCGCCAAGGTGTGCAAAACAGCCGCTGCCCTGAGCCGACACGGACAGAGGCATGCTGCCGAGCGGTCTGGGGGGACCCCCACCCCTGTCATCGCCTACTCCAAGGGCAGTGCTGGCACCAGGCCTGGAGCTGTCAAGGAGGAGGCTCCCCAAGAGATGCAAGTGTCCTCCTCCAGTGGGGAGGCCGGAGGTGGGAGTGCTGCTGCTGAGGAGGCTCCAGACACGGCCTCACTCCAGGACCCTGTCATCTCAGGGGGTGAAGAACCCCCAGTAGCAGTAGGGGGTAGCCATGGGTACCCTCCTGTGCAGGAATTCCCCCTGGCCTTAATAGGGAGGGGCCGGGAACCTGGCAGTGGCAGAGGCAAAGCTGGAGGTGAGGGGCCAGTGGGGGCTTCCCAGGGGGACCAGATGGAAGCTGCAAAAGTCACCTTCTATCCTGAGCCCTACCCACTCGTCTATGGCCCCCAGCTCCTGGCTGCCTACCCTTACAACTTCAGCAACTTGGCTGCTCTCCCAGTTGCTCTCAACATGGTCCTACCTGATGAGAAGGGTGGGGGGGCCCTTCCCTTCCTGCCAGGAGTCTTCAGCTACACAGTGAATCCTCAAGCAGCTCCTCCTACTCCCCCAACTCCACCACCCCCAATTCTTCCTCCATCAGGTCCTCCTAAGGGAGAAGGGGAAAGGGCAGGAGTTGACAGAACGCAGAAGGGAGATGTGGGGTGAGCCAGGCTGTGGGACCCGGATCTCGTTTCACCAGATGCCACCCTCCCTGAACCCCCACCACCACTACCAGCTCCCTGGCCTCCTTTGCCCCTTGGGAGCCCCACCACACTTTTGTGCAGGGACTTGGGGGTCCCTGGAGCTCAGGGGTCAGGCTGCTTCGTGTGAGATCGTAGTTTTCCCATCTCCTGGGAAGGGATCTTTAGTTGTTCCCCTCTCACTCTTCCTCCAGGGAATGGCCCCCTTGAGGGGCAGGGCCAGCTCCCACCCCTTCTCCAGCCCTTGGGGCAACTGAGCAATATACTTATCTGAATCTCTATTCACAGCCCCCACCAGCTCTGAATGTCTAACCTGCTCCCCTCATTGGTAAACCTAGGCGGGGGGAAAACATCTCTCACTTCATTATCTTGCTGTTTCTGAAGCTTTCTGAGTCCTTCCCCAGATGCTTCCAGCACATTCCATTCTGTGTGGCCCAGGGCCTGGACCAGACCATTGTGATAGCTGCCCCACCCACCTGCCTGGGAGCATGGCTTCGGATTCCGTTCTTCCCAAGGGTGGGTTTTTCTTCTGTCCTTGTTTCCTTCACATCCAGATGCCACGCCTTCCTTGGCTCTCATGCCTTTGGATCTTCCATACTTCTTCCTGTGCTCCTAGACTTTGGAGGTGGCCTTGCCCAATCCAGGTTCAAAGGAGGTGTTAGGGGAAAGGATACACCTCTGTTTCATGACTGAGCACTTTTCCAGTCCAGGACAGGGAATTCTTGGTTCCTACCTTGACTTTCAAATCCAGTGAACCCTCAGATTCTTCCAAGGGAAAAGAGGTGAGTAGATCATGCCTCTTCCTGCCTTTACATATGGCCTCTTTTGGGCTACACCAGATTTGAGAGCCAAGGACACCATATGGGATGAGGAAAAGAATCTATGTTCTACCTGCTTCCCCCCTCATGGTTTCTCCCAGACTAGACCAAATAGCCAGAAAAAAAAAAAAACAAAAAAAAACTATGGGGGTTCAATGAGTGGGTAAGCCCAAGATTTGCACATGACCTTTCATCCTTACCTTCCCCCCATCTTCCCCAGTGTTGCTGTCCTCACCAGATGGTTTGCGGGGGACCATCCTACTCTCCTGGTGGGCTTTGGGGTATCCCCACCAACTTTCCCTCCAAAATAGCACCTTATACCCCATCTTTGACTCAGTTCCCCACACCCAAAGATCCCAGCCTAGGGAAGGGGTGCAGGGACCATAAATAGTCCCTAATCCCTAATTTGCACTAGTTAACCCTGGTCAGGGGTCCGTTTTTCCTTCCAGTGGGGAGAAGAAGAAATGTTTGCTCTTAGTTCTTTTTGAAAACAGAGCCTCCCTGCTCTGTAATTGGATAAGTATTTCCCATCCCATCCACCTCCATTCAAGTCAAGAGGAGAGCCAGTTTGGGGGAACAAATTTGACAAGTGGGAGTTAGAGGAGCTGCAGTTTAAAAAGGGAGAAAGGTCACTGTCATCAAAATGGCAACATTTCTCTCAGCTACTGTTTTTTGTTTTTTTTTTAACTTCTTGTTTTATTTTGCCAAGATGGCTGCCCTCTCAGTAACTACAGAGAGGACAAGATCATGGCTTTTGGAGGGAGGTAAGTTTGTAGAGGTCCAGAAGCATCCTCCTACGCCTTCCAGCATATAGGAAAGGGGAGGGAAGGATTTTTTTTTTTTTTTTTTGGTTGGTTGTGGGGCTTGAACTCAGGGCCAGGGCACTGTCCCTGAGCTCTTTCTCAAAGCTAGTTCTCTACCACTTTGAGCCACAGCTCCACTTCCAGTTTTCTGGTGGTTAGTTGGAGATAAAGAGTCACACAGGGACGTTACAGCCCAGGCTGGCTTCAAACTGTGATCCTCACATCTCAGCCTCCTGAGTAGTTAGGATTACAGGCATGAGCCACTGACACCTGGTGAGGGAAGGATTTTGACAGGCTCCCTGAATGTTTAATACAGAGGAGTCACTCCATTCCTCCTCTGTCTCTTTGCACTTTTCTTGGTCTTGGCCATAGCCTGCGTGAAGAATTTCCTACTGAATGTAAAAAGCTCCAATTTTTAAAAGAGGAAAAGGTTTAAATGGAAAAATGCAAAAAAAAAAAAAATCACTAAAAATTCCCACTGATCTTGTTTCTGGCACTTTAGAAAAACTGCGAAAAATACATAATAAAGAATACATATATGTATATATATACATATATATGAGATCTACACACAAATATATATACATATATATGTGTGTATACACATACACACACACACACACACACACACACACACACAGAGCGGAACCACAGGGAGACTGAGGAAAGCATGGAGGCAGGAGACAGATGTGATGACAGTCATCCTATACCCTTCACCTGCACTCCTCTTAGGAACACAGGCACAGGGAAATGGAAGGGGCTGAAGATGGTGGGGAATTTGAATTTCAGATTAGGTCAAAATTCTAAAACCATGGACATTGTGAAAGAATTGAGATTGTAGACACTTTTTGACAATATGGTTAAGGCAAATAGCTTCCTGAATTTAGGGGTTCTGGACAACAAATGAGATTGTAACAAAGTGGAGATTAAACTATATGTATTTGAGCTTGGGAATCTGAGTTTCATGTTGCACATGTTGGCAATTTGGGATTTTGCAGTTTTGTCATTTGAAAATGATCCAGTCTGTTTGTGCCCTCTTTCCTCATGTTTCCAGGGAAGAGGGTGATGGAATGGGAAAGCCACTGGTTCTGTGCCACAACACACAAGATTTAGAATTCTACAGACTGTAGCTCTATAAGTAGTGAGGACCCTGATTTAGAGAAACTGACCAATATTTATCTCCGCATTTGTGTGTGTGTCCAACTCTCTAGGCCAATAAACCAACAAGACAAATGAACTGTGCTCCACAGTAGGATTCCAGGTGCAATTATTTGTGTGGCTGGTGAGTCTGGGGGAAAGGGACATACTGGCTCACAGGGATCCTAGGGCTTGTAGCCCTATTCTTCCTCATAAGACAACTTCCAGCAGTTGAATAGATATGAGGCTTGTTGACTCTAGCTGCTTCAGTTACTTGTAGTCCCTAAGTTCTAGCTGACTGGTCTGACCTCCAGGCAGAAACATTTACTGAGTCCACATCACGCAGACTGCTGTGCCAAAGTACTGGGTGCAAGATGTGTGTCCTGAACAACCCTGTCATGAATCCTAGCTACTCAGGAGGCTAAGATCTGAGGATCACAGTTCAAAGCCAGCCCAGGCAGGAAAGTCTGTGAGACTCTTTTTTTTTTTTTGGTTGTGGGGCTTGAATTCTGGGCTTGGGTACTGTCTCTGCACTCTTCAGCTCAAGGCGAGCGCTCTACAGCTTGAGCCACAGAGCCACTTCCAGTTTTCTGGTGGTTAATTGGAGATAAGAGTCTCACATTTTTTCCTGCCCCAGCTGGCGTTGAACCGTTGATCCTCAGATCTCAGCCTCCAGAGTAGCTAGGATTACAGGCGAGAGTCATCGGCACACGGCCAGTCATACTCTTATCTCCAATAAAACACTCAGAATACCAGAAGTGGTGCTGTGGCTCAAGTAGTTGAGTGCTAACTTTGAGCTGAAGAGCTAAGGGACAGTGCAGTAGCCCAGAGTTCAAGCCCCATGACTGACAAAAAAGAAAAAAAAAAGTACAATGAGTCAAAGGACATGTCTCTTGGTCATAGAAGTGATCTTTTTCTAGTCCTCCCTATTGGCATCAACTCTGCCTGCTATGCTTTCCTCTAAATTTATCTATTTTATTGAACAAGGGCTGTCCCTGAGCTTTTCTGCTCAAGGCTAGAGCTCTAACCACTTTGAGCCAGCTCCACTTCTGGTTTTCTGATGGTTAACTGGAGATAAGAGTCTCAGGTACTTTCTGCCTGGGCTGGCTTTGAATGACGATCCTCAGATCTCAGCCTCCTGAGTAGCTAGCATTATAGGCATGAGTCATCAACACCCAGCCCTTCCCCTAATTTTTTTCTAGTGTTATGGAGGAATGGGCAGGTAAAGTGTGTGAAGATGATCCGATAGTATTGAGGAATTCTGCCTCAGTTCCTTGACCAGAATGTGCAGACACTAATCAGCTATAGCATGTTGCAGACAACAGAAGTATCAGGTCTAGTGTTATTAAGCATAGTAGTTTTAAAAATATCCAAGAGAAACATGAAATCCAAATATCTCGGTCAAACATCCAAATTTTACATTTAAAATTCAAATTTAAAATTGTATAGGCCAAAAACATTGAAACAAGTGTTTTGCAAATTCTGCTAGGTTTTGTGTGTGTGTGTGTGTGTGTGTGTGTGTATGTGTGTGTGTGTGTGTGTGTGTGGTGTGTGGTGTGTGCTGGTACTGGGGCTTTAACTCAGCACCTAGGTACTGTCCACTTACCACTTGAATCACAGTTCCACTTTTGGCATTTTGGTGGTAACGATATAAGTGTCTCATTGACCTCTCTACCCAGGCTGGCTTTGAACCATGATCCTCAGATCTCAGCCTCCTGAGTAGCTAGTGTTACAAGGGTGAGCCACTGGGCATTTGGCTACTGCTCAAGCAGCCACCACTTAGCCATTCATGGCATTTAGAATGAGATATATACTATTATTAGCTTCATTTTACAGGCATGGAAACAGATATAGAGCAGTTCAATGGTTTGAGCATCAAAACTATTACCTAAATATTTAAATGCATTTTTTCTTTCCTCACAAATACAGCCTTTTAGAAATAACTTTTTAAATCCTGAAGGTAGTATTTATTGCACAAGATAACAGAAAACTAAAACCAGAAATTAGTGCTACCATGCAAATATAGGCACTATTAATTAAATGCATCTGTTCAGAATTTTTTTTTCCTCAACAAATGTCAAGCACTATGATTCAGACTGTGTGAGGTGCTGAGCACATAACAGTGAATGACATTTTCTGCCGTCCTAATAAAGTTGTTTGGGTTTTTTGGGGGGCCCGGTCGTGGGGCTTGAACTCTGGGCCTGGGCGCTGTCCCTCAGCTCTTCAGCTCAAGGCTAGCGCTCTACCACTTGAGCCACAGCTTCACTTCCGGCTTCCCCCCCCCTTATGTGGTGCTGAGGAATCGAACCCAGAGCTTCATGCATGCAAGGCAAGCGCTCTACCACTGAGCCACCTTCCCAGCCCCCTAATAAAGTTTTGACATTCAAATGGCACTTCAAGAACTAAGTAAGTAAGCTGATAAGCATTTCAGGTGGATATAAAGCATATAGCTTGTTAGCCTTCCATCTCACTTCAAAGCCCAGAAAGGAAATCAGAGACCTAATCCCTACTGAAAGAGTAGAAAGCAGAAATACAGAGCTTTCAGAGTACAGGTTCAATTAACCTTCAGTCTTCAAGGAAAGGGGTCCTCCGGGGGCAAATGATACGTGGCATCTAAGAAAATGACCAGGGTTCCGACGCTCGTGAAAATGATGAAGGTCCACAGGAAAAGGCGATCCACTACCATGGCCACAAACTGCCAGTCCTCCTTTAGCTGAGGGTAGACAAAAGAAACCACCTTAAGCTTCAGGCCCAGATCTCTCTCCATTCCCCACCCCCCGCCCCCAAGCCCACCTCCTCAGCTCCCCACTAGCATCTTTCTACCCTGGGTGCGAGAAAAGAGCCAGCAGCCCAACTGGAAAGTGTTGGAGTAGAGGAGTAGCAGTAAATGACCAATCGGAATGCAGGGGCGGGGCCAAATGGAGTATATTTCCAATCAGAAACTGAAGCGAGTGCTAGGGGTGGAGCTTGGATTTGGGGGTGAAGCCAGGGCCTTGGAATCCCTGCCCTGCTGCCCGCTCGGTGGTCTTACAGCATCGTAGTCCTCCTGTTCCTGCAACTGCCGAGCTATGTAAGTGATCGAGGAAATGACTTCCCGTAGTTCCTGAGGTAGACCCACAGCCCGGTTGGGACCATCGATAAATCGCCGTAGATCCGGGGCAGACAGTTCTGGTTGGAACCTGTAAGATGTGAGACTGTTTGAACTCGCAACGGGAGCAAAAAAGAACAACCAGAGCCTGTGACCTAGACCCTACTCCAGCTTCCTCCTCCAACAGACTGTCATATCTCAAAACCTTTCAAAGGCCCTTCAGCATCTCCCCTCCAGAAGATAGTTCTCCAGACTTCTGCAACTTCGCCTAAGTTTTAAATGATATCTTTCCCCAGAGGAATGGCAGAAGGGAAACTACAACTCCCATGGTGCTGGAGGGTGGGCTAGGCCTTCTGGGAATTGTAGTTCTTCCTCACTTATGTGGTTGAGTGTAGGTCCTACCTGTTGGGTTTGGGGAAGAGAAAATCATTCGGCGGCTTCCGGATAAAATATTCATCTGTTCCCCGACCCCAGCCACTTCCTGGAGAAGAAGCCTGTTGGGGTTCCGGAAACTGGTCTCTCTCAGGTTTGGGCCTCTTCAGACCTAGGTACCCAGGGAGCTTGTGAATGAAGATCTGTAGAGTAAACGAGTTGTATTAGGGAGCTCTCATGTCTTCAGATCGTGGGGGTAAACAGCCATCTACTCTATTCCACGAATCCATTCCTGTGCATCTCTGCACGTAGTCCCCACAGTATTAAACAGACAAGGCAATGAAGCTCTAAGAGCGTATCCCTGTCCCCACAGCCTCCCTTTGGTCCTAGAGATTGAACCCTTCCTGGACTTTTCTTGATAAACAGTCTACCGCTTGAGCCATATCACAATCCCCCATTTTTTTTTTTTTTTGGTTGGTTGTGGGGCTTGAACTCTGGGCCTGGGCGCTGTCCCTCAGCTCTTCAGCTCAAGGCTAGCACTCTACCACTTGAGCCACAGCACCACTTCTGGTTTTCTGGTGATTTATTGGAGATTAGAGTCTCACAGACTCCCCCCCTCCCCCCGAAAAAAAAAAAGAAGTATAGGTTTTGTTTATTTGTAGCTTGGAGGTTTGAACTCAAGGCCTTGTGATTGTTTAATTTGCTTGCTTGGCTGGCACTCTACAACTTAAGCTATGCCTCCATTCCTGCTATTTGCTAGCAGGGCTGGTTTTAAACCACGATCCTCATCCAGCATGAGGCTCACAATCCCTTTTTTGTTTGTTTTGTGCTGGTCCTCAGGCTTGAACTTGAACTAGGGACTGTCCTTGAGCTTTTTTGCTCAGGGCTGGTAGAACTCTATTACTTGAGCCACAGCTCAACTTTCAGCTTTTTGATACCTAATTGGAGACAATAGTCTCATGGACTTCATGTCATGGCTGGCTTTCAACCACAATCCTCAGATCTCAGCCTTCTGAGTAGCTAGGATTACAGGTGTGAATTACTGGCACCTGGCTTACAAGCCCTCTTTATTTTGTATTCTGTTTTTAATATCAGATATTGGTAAACAGTTAACCTCTAACCTCAAATGCATAATCCTCTGCCTCCTCTTTCTACCAGCCTGGGATGGTAAGTGTGAACAAGCTCAGCCTATTTAAAGACTCTTTAATTGGTTGGGAGATATCTTAGGAGAGAGGTTCTGAGTGCTTCTATCCTGATAGTATGTTTCCCAGGCTCAAGATGGGCAGTAATGATTAAGAGAATATAAGACCTGCCAGGCGCTGGTGGCTCATGCCTGTAATCCTAGCTACTCAGGAGGTTGAGATCTGAGGATCGCGGTTCAAAGCCAGCCCGGGCAGGAGAGACCGTGAGACTCCTATCTCCAATAAACCACCAGAAAACCGGAAGTGGCACTGTAGCTCAAGTGGTAGAGCGCTCGCCTTGAGCTGAAGAGCTGAGGGACAGCGCTCAGGCCAAGTTCAAGCCCCATGACCGACAAAAAAAAAAAAAGAGAGAGAGAGAGAATATAAGACCTAAGAAATGATCGTCCAAAGGGAATATTAAGAAAGGAAATACTAATTGTATACTGTTTCAACATCCATCATGCTTTGGCACTTCAACACTCTGCCAGATAGCTATACCCTAACATCTACAAAAAAAAGAAGTAGAGGGGCTGGGAAGGTGGCTCAGTGGTAGAGTGCTTGCCTTGCATGCATGAGGTCCTGGGTTCAGTTCCTCAGCACCACATAAGAAGAAAAAGCTGCAAGTGGTGCTGTGGCTCCAGTGGTAGAGCACTAGCCTTGAGCTGAAGAGTTGAGGGACAGCACCCAGGCCCAGGACTGACCCCCCGCCCCCCCCCCCCAAAAAAAAAAGAAGTAGAGGTTTTGTTTCTTTATTTGTAGCTTGGAGGTTTGAACTGAAGGCCTTGTGATTGTTTGATTTGCTTGCTTGGCTGGCACTCTACAACTTGAGCTATGCCTCCATTCCTGCTATTTGCTAGTTATTTTGGAGATGGAGTTTAGCAAATTTTTCTGCCTGGGCTGGCCTCAAACCTTAACTTTCCAGATCTCAACCTCCTGAGTAGCTAGGATTATAAGTATGAACTACTAGTGTTTTGCTTGATAAGCCTTTTTTTTGTCAGTCATGGGGCTTGAACTCTAGGCCTGAGCACTATCCTCAAGCTCTTCAGTTCAAGGCCAGTGCTTTACCACTTGAGCCACAGCACCACTTCCAGCTTTTTCTGTATATGGTATACAAACCAGGGCTTCAGGCATGCTATACAAGCACTCTACCACTAAGCCACATTCCCAGCCTGATGTCTTTTTTTTTTGTCAGTTGTGGGGCTTGAACTCTGGGCCTGAGCCCTGTCCCTGAGCTCTTCAGCTCAAGGCTAGCACTTGAGCCCATTGCCACTTCCAGTTTCCTGGTGGTTAATTGGAGGTAAGAGTCTCACAGCCTTTCCTACCTGGGCTGGCTTTGAACCACGATCCTCATATCGCAGCTTCCTGAGTAGCTAGGATTACAGTTGTGAGCCACTGGTGCCTGGCCAATACATCATTTTTTAAAAACTGGAATCTCAATCCATCCAACTGGGACCAGTTGCCTCTGCCTGAAGAATCACCTTTGTAATTTCCTTAATAAGAGTTTGATAGTAATAAACTCTTGCATCTTTTGTATATGTACACACACACACACACACACACACACACACACACACACACACACACAAACACATCTAGACTTGGTGGGAGGGAGGAGTGATATCTAGACAAAAAGGAATGAACACAGGCTGCGGGAATCTGTCTTACCTGACGGACCCAAAAGGGCATTTGGTGAGTATGGGGTGAGCGGTGGTGTAGGTTGAGGACCACCACACTCAGGATGACTGAGAAGGTGACGAGGATCATGGTGAACATGAGATACTTGATAATGATGGGGACTGACAGGGACGTCTCAGGTACTTTGTCTGCCAGCAGCAGCAGGAACACAGTAAGGGTCAGCAGGGCAAAGATTGAGAGGCCCATTTTTTCTCCTAGGAGGGAAGAGGGGAAGGCAGAAGGATTAGGGCTTTGCCAGAAGGATATCACTATGGCAGAGTTAATGGCCATATTCCCAGCCCACACAAAGATAAGCTTTTTCTTTCTTTTCTTGCTGGTCATGGGGTCTCAACTCTGCGCCTGTACACTGTCCCTCAGCTTTTCAGCTCAAGGCTCTACCACTTGAGCCACAGCACCACTTCTGGCTTTTTTCTGTTTATGTGGTGCTGAGGAATCGAACCCAGGGCCTCATGCATGCAAGGCAAGCGCTCTACCACTGAGCCACCTTCCCAGCCCCTCAAAGATAAGATTTTTAGGAAGGCCGTTTGTATGCAAATCATTTAATTCCTACACTTGTTTCTCCAGCCTGGACTTCCCTGATCTCCCAACTCATGTCCAAATGCCTGCTCAAACTCTTCACTTAAATAGCCAGTAGGCATCTAAAACTTGGCCAAAACTTAATTCTTTCACCACTATGGTTTCCTCCATCTTATAAATGATAATTCCTACCTTTCCTGTGGCACTTTCTCCCCCCTTGTACCGAGTTTACAACAAACTCAGTTGGCTCTACCTTCAGTATATATTCTGAAACTGATGACAAATACTACACTGGCTCTAATTACTATAACCATGTTGTTGAAATATAAAGCAGATTATATCATTCATTTTCTCCAAATTGTTTTGTGATACCTCATCTTCATCATGAAAGCAAAGTCTTACTTGGGTGTTATGGTATGTAATCCCAGCACTCAAGCTAGAGGATGAGCTACATAGTGATATGGGGTGTGGGGAGGAATTAGGAAGGGAAGGAAGAAAAATAGAACATAGAAAAATACTATGTTCTACAAGACTTTCCTATTCGTTTCCTGCCTTCATCGTGTCTTCATCTTTATTTTCATTCAGTTTTTCAGTTACATTGGCTGCCTTCATTTCTTGAATATATAAGACAGTTTCCCACTGGGCGCTGGTGGCTCATACCTGTAATCCTAGCTACTCAAGAGGATGAGATCTGAGGATCAGGGTTCAAAGCCAGCCAGGGCAAGAAAGTCCATGAGACTCTTACCTCCAATAAACTATTAGAAAACCGGAAGTGGCTATGTGGCCCAAGTGGTAGAGCACTAGCCTTGAGCTGAAGAGCTGAAGGACAGTGCCCAGGCCCAGAGTTCAAGCCCCATGACTGACAAAAAAAAATAAAATAAAATAGAGACTTTCCCATTGGAGAGCCTTTGTACTTAACTGTTTCTTCTGCGTGGCACATTTTCCCATCAAACACATGCCAGGGTTTTTCTTTCCTCATTCAGGTCAAACAAACCCTTTTCTTCTTTCTTCTTACTTTTCTTTTTTTTAAAATTATTTTTATTTTTTCCAGTCGTGGGGCCTGAACTCTGGGCCTGGGCACTGTCCCTCAGCTCTTCAGCTCAAGGCTAGCGCTCTACCACTTGAGCCACAGCGCCACTTCCAGCTTTTTTCTTTTTGCTTATGTGGTACTGAGGAATCGAACCCAGGGCCTCGAGCATGCAAGGCAAGCGGTCTATCACTGAGCCACCTTCCCAGCCCTCTTTCTTCCTTCTTTCTTTCTTTCTTTCTTTTTTAGTTTGTAAGTATACTTTTACCATTTGAAGTACAAAAGATGCAACATTCATGTAGTATTGACTGATAAAGTGACCTAACATATTGCTTAATCTATTACAGAACATTTGAGTGTCATGGATAAACAAAAGAATGATATACAATTAGCTAGTTGACATGGAGATCAACTAGCTTGAGAAACATAGATAAAATTTCAGACAAAAATGTTATTTTGGAGTGTTGAGCATAGTAGTGTTTGATAGAGATCAGGAGCCTGAAGGTAGAAGGGCTCAAGGCCAAATGTCCCCCATACTATGGGGAAGATCACTAAATATCTTTTCATTAAGCTTCCTTATTTAGCCGGGCGCTCATGACTCATGCCTGTCATCCTAGCTAATCAGGAGGCTGAGACCTGAGGATCACAGTTCAAAGCCAGCCCCAGTAGGAAAGTCTGTGAGACTCTTAACTCCAATAAACCACTAGAAAACCGGAAGTGGTGCTGTGGCTCAAGGGATAGAGCCCTCGCCTTGAGCAGAAGAGCGCAGGGACAGCACTCAAGCCAAAAGTTCAAGCCTCACAACTCCCCCCCCCCAAAAAAAAAAGAGCGGGGGGTGGGTGGGGGAGAATGCACTTGTGGAAATGGGAGGGAAGGGATGGTAGGGGAAAAACAAAGGAGGAGGCAACAATGCTTGATAAGAAATGTACTCATAGCCTGGCATATGGCTCACATCTGTAATTCTAGCTACTCAGGAGGCTGAGATCTGAGGATCGGGGTTCAAAGCCAGCCCGGGCAGGAAACACCGTGAGACTCCTACCTCCAATAAACCACTAGAAAACCAGAAGTGGTGCTATAGCTCAAGTGGTAGAGCGCTGGCCTTGAGCTGAAGAGCTGAGGGACAACACTCAGGCCCAGAGTTCAAGCCCCATGACCAACCAAAACAAAAAGAAAAAGAAAAATGTACTCATTACCTTGCTCATTTGATTGTAACCCTCTGTACAGTACTTTCACAATAAAAAACTTATTAAAAAAAAAAAAAGAGTCTCACAGCCTATCCTGCCCAGGCTGGCTTTGAACCCTGATCCTCAGATCTCAGCCTCCTTAGTAGCTAGGATTACAGGCATGAGCCACCAGTCCCCGGCTTAGGTTTCTTTTTTTTTTTTTTTTGGGTCCAGTCATGGGGCCTGAACTCTGGGCCTGGGCACTGTCCCTCAGCTCTTCAGCTCAAGGCTAGCTAGCACTCTACCACTTGAGCCACAGCGCCATTTTTGGCTTTTTTCTTTTTGCTTATGTGGTGCTGAGGAATCGAACCCAGGGCCTCATGCTTGCAAGGCATGCACTCTACTGCTGAGCTACCTTCCCAGCCCCGAGATGGAGTCTTTTGAGGCTGGCCTTGAATCTCTATTCCAAATCTCTGACTCCCAAATAGCTAGGATTACAGGCTTGAGTCACTGCACTTGGCTTTTTTTTTTTTTTTAATTCACTCATGCATTCACCATTCATGCATTTGCTAATGCCTAGTAAAATACAGATACTCAAAAATATAGTTGCATGAGTGAATGGACCAACCTCTATATATTTTCAGAGAAAATATAGCAATAGGATCTAAAAATGAAATGATATACAAGGATGTTGTATACAATGAAGCAGTATACAGTATACAAGGTACCTTATTCTACCTGTAGCATACAAAAGACATTGCAAACTAAGGATGTCAGGCCTTTGAATTACAGGCCTGATTTGATCAAAGGCTTGAATTAAATACCTGGCCTTAACCAGGGTAGCAATAGAAACACTACACCTCTCTGTGTGATGTCATGATTTAAATTTTCAGCTTCTATCTTTCTCTGTAAAATGAGAATGGCAGTTTGATACCTTGAATGGTCATTGTAAAAATTACAATTAATACATATAACATGTTCAGCCGGGCGCTGGTGGCTCACGCCTGTAATCCTAGCTACTCAGGAGGCTGAGATCTGAGGATCGTGGTTCAAAGCCAGCCCGGGCAGGAGAGAATGTGAGACTCCTATCTCCAATAAACCACCAGAAAACCGGATGTGGCGCTGTAGCTCAAGTGGTAGAGCGTTCGCCTTGAGCTGAAGAGCTGAGGGACAGTGCCCAGGCCCAGAGTTCAAGCCCCACGACTGACAAAAAAAAAAAAAAAAATACATATAACATGTTCATTGTATTACCTTAAAACAAGTATTCTTTGATTTTTTTTTTCTGTCGATAATAGGGCTTGAACTCTGGGCCTGGGCACTGTCCCCGAACTCTTCAGCTCAAGGCAAGCAGTCTACCGTTTGAACCACAGCACCACTTCTGGTTTTCTAGTGGTTTATTGGAGATAAGAGTCTCATGGACTTTCCTGCCCGGGCTAGCTTTGAATTGTGATCCTCAGATCTCAGCCTCCTGACTAGCTAGGATTACAGGCATGAGCCACCGGCACCCAGCTTCTTTGATAATTTTCAAAAACTCAACTAAACAAACAATAAATACATATATCTTACTGAGTACCAAGCATAGGTTGTTGTCTGTTTTTGTTTTGCTGGTACTGGGACTTGAATTCAGGGCCTCATGCTCTCCCTTAGCTCTTTTTGGTCTAGACTGGTGCTCTACTACTTAAGCCATACCTTTACTTCCAGCTTTTTGCTGGTTAATTGGAGATTAGAGTTTCACAGACTTTTCTGCCCAGGCTAGGTTCATACCTTGATCTTCAGATCTCAGCTTCCTGCGTAGCTAGTATGACAACCATGCCGGTCAGGCATAGTTTTTGTTTTGTTTTTTTATTCAGGCATAGTTTTGTTAACTTAATATAATCCACTGCATCAGGATAAGGATTGTCCCCATTTCCAGATCAGAACTTAAGGGAGAGGTACCCTGAAACTACATTATATTTCTAGAGAAATGTTAACGATTATTTCTCAGAGATTGAGAGTTAAAGCATAAGTGTGTGTCTGAAAAGTGCGGGGAGGGAGGTTTCCAGGATTCAGAAAAGACACAGTAGAGTTGGCTCGGCTTGGAATTTGGTTGGTCAGGGAAATGGAGGTTTCATGAATAAGAGGCTAGGACTGTTAGGGGAATTGTGGGAGGCCAGCAGCAGAGAGAATGTAGGACCTGAAGTTGAGTCTATTGGTAGGAGGGTTGGTGGGAGGGAAAACCTGGGATTTCTGAAGTCCAATCCTTGATGGTTCCCATTGGCAGGAAAACCTAGCCTAAAGATCAAGGGGAAGAAGCTGAGCTAAGCCCCTTACCTGCATCTGGTGGTAGGTAGAAGACAAAGATGGCCAGGAGAGTGATGAGGATGCATGGGGCAATGACATTGACCAGGTAGAAGAGAGGTTTCCGTCGGATGATGAGATAGAAGGTAACTTCCTGATGCTGTCCTTCCCTCCCTCCCCTTGGATCCCCTGGCGGCTGGACTAGCCGAGAGGGCTTGTGAATAATCTCCCATTGGCCGTTCTCTGGAGGAGTAGCAGAAAAAAAGAAGGGCACATTGATGTGGGAGATGGGTCAGCGCCTGGTATGGCACACTATGCTGGGAAGCCCATCCCTAATAAGAATGAAGTCTCAATTTCCATATTTGTAAAGTGTTGATAGGGCACCCAGCTTGCTGACCTCACAGGGTTACATTGAGTATCACTGGCAGTATACGTTAGAGACTGAAATTCAGAAAGCCTATGGATTTTTGGAGCCATACCCACTCACCAATGAAAGTCCCTTCATGAATGTAGATTTCCTGCCGTTCCTGCCCATCAGGATCCAGGCCTGTGTGCAGGCTGACCTCTGAGCTGTCATAGCTGTATGAACTAAACACCATGGTACAGTTCTGCCAGTCAAAGGGGAAGTAAGTGACCTGGAATGGGGGAGAGGAAGAGAGTCATTGGAGCTGCCTAAGAACGGGTTAGGGCCAGGGTCAGTGGTAAGAGAACAAAATATGGAGCACTAAGGAAATAGGGATCACTAAAGGAAATGACAGGTAAGTGAGGTGCAGAGGAAGCAGAGTTATTAAGGGGAGATGGAGGAGGATCACAGAAGATTGGAAGTCAAAGCAAGTGTATAAGGGATAGTCAGTGGAAAATCAGGACAAACAAAAGCAAAAGTCATGGGGATAGTGGAGAAGGAGAGAAATTGCTGGGGAGTTAGAATGTCTGAGAAGAGGTGGAGCCTGAAAACCTGAATGCTGCAGCTGCTTCGATAGATGCCAGGGGGCTGCCAACGCACCGTGCCACCGAAGGACACCACGACATTAATATCCAAAGCAACGTCAAAATTTCCATCATTGCTGCATAGAAGGATTCTCTCAGCTAGGATAGGGACCCATCCCTTGGAGGCCCCGCCCCTCCAAGGCACCACCTTCCCAGGCTTAGGAAAGATCCTACTTGTTCAGCAGCACCACGTCAGGGAGCCACACAGATTCAGGTGTAATGCGAAGCAAGTCGATGCCATCGTATTCTGCAGGATCCCAGCTTAGTCTATAATCGGTCCATTCCTAGGGAAGAAGAAGCTGAAGGGCTCTTTGTGCTAGAGGCCAGAAAAGGACTTGAAATGTCTAAAAGGAAGCCCAGGAAAAAAACGCAAGGGAGGAGCCAAACAGGAGAAATGGACTGTGGTGAAGAGTTGTACATTCTGGCTATAGTTCTGCTTTCACTCACTTGGTCTCCTATTTTTAATGTATAAAACCAAAAGTGTACTAGCTTTTCTCAAAACTGTTTTGCTTTCACACTGTAGTTTATGATTCTTTAGTGAATGGAAATTCAAATTGGTGGCCCTAAACCTATTTTTGTTTCTTTGTTTTTGTGCCAGTACGAGGTCTTGAACTCAGGGCCTGGGAACTATTCCTGAGCATTTTGGCTCAACATTAGTATTCTGCCACTTGAGCGACAGCTCTACTTTCAAACCTGGTTTTTTTTGTTTGTTTTTTGCCAGACCAGGGGCTTGAACTCAGGGCCTGAGCACTGTCCCTGAGCTTCTTTTGCTCAAGGCTAGTACTCTACCACGTGAGCCACAGTGCTACTTCTGGCCTTTTCTGTTTATGTGGTACTAAGGAATGGAACCCAGGGCTTCGTGCATACTAGACAAGCATTCTACCACTGAGCCACATTCCCAGCTCCCTGTTTGTTTTTCTAATAGAATGAAGACTGCATCTGTCTCGCTTAGGAATTAATGACTGAAATTTTGTTTCATTTATAAATGTATTTTCTGATGTTATGATACAAATATATATACATATATATGTATATGTATGTATATATATATATGTATATATATATATATATATATTAACGGGACCTGGACATTCTAATAAATTGTAAAAGGAGTGGAATGCATTTCCCTACTCCGGAGATCTCCATACCAGGTCTAAGTACACCTTTGTGCTCATCTCTTCATCTTTCTCGTTCTAGAAAGGAAAATTGAAAGAGTAGAGGTGAAAAGGGTGGAGAGAAATGAGCGGGCTGGACAAATAAGCCTCTCCTAAGAAACTCTGTCTCTCCCTCTTTTTTTTCTTTTTCTTTTTTTTGTCAGTCGTGGGGTTTGAACTCTGGGCCTGGGCGCCGTCCCTCAGCTCTTCAGCTCAAGGCGATCCCTCTAACACTTAAGCCACAGCGCCACTCTTGGTTTTCTAGTGGTTAATTGGAGATAAGAGTCTCACCGACTTTCCTGCCCGAGCTGGCTTTGAATCGCGATCCTCAGATCTCAGCCTCCTGAGTAGCTAGGATTACAGGCGTGAACCACTTGCGCCCGGCAATTCTGCCTCTCTCTGAGACCCACCATTGTAAGTAAGTCCAAAAACCCATCTCTTAAAAGGCTGCATTAGATTAAGCCTAAATTCGACTTCAGAAACACTCTCCTACGATCTACTTTCGGCCTCATTAGAAGCCAACCCTTCTAGCCTGTCATCAGGCTCTGTCCGGGGTGGGGGGGGGGGGCCCCGCCCACAGTTTAGAATCCACCCAACCCAATCTCCGCCTAGGGCTATTCATTGACCTGTCCAGCACATAGCTCCGCCCACTGCCAGAACTTTATTCGGTCCTGCCTCAAGGACCACTCCCTCTACTTCAAGATCCGCCCACAGGCCGTGGTGTAGCTGGGCAGCTCTACTTTGGACCGTCTAGCGGCCACGCCCACGAACTTGTTCATTGGCCCGATTTCTACCCAATCTCCGCTAACGGCTTGTCCATCTTTCTGCCTAGTTTCCTCTCAGATCCCGCCCCCAAGGCTGACCATCCATTTGGCCTTACCTAAAGCCACGCCTCCCCAGCAGTTCCACCCGTCCAACCTCAACCCCCGGCGTGCGCCCTCACCAGGCTGATGAGCTGCGCCAGGATGAGACCAACGCTGACCTCGACGCGATCTCCCAACTCCCGCGCCGGCCGCACGGAGCTATCATAGCCCGAGAAAAGCTTCTCGCGGAGTCGACCCTCAGCTTCCGAGCCAAGGGCGCCTGCAGGAGGAGAGCGCTAAGTGAAGTCCTTGTCCCCGGCCACGACCGTTGTCACTGCCTCTTGGGGGAACTAGATTTACCTGGGGCGAAGGGCGCCCCCAGCGCCCCCAAAAGCAGCAGCAGCGCCCCTGAGACCATAACCCGGCCGTGTCGCTCAGTGATTTTGCTCTGAGAACCACTGGAGCTGCCAGAGCAGGGGAAGTGACGAGGCGCCCAGGAATGTGCACCTGTTGCTGGGGGGGGGGGCAGCTGCCAGCCCACCCGCCCCGCGTGCCCTCGGGACTCAGTCCCGCCCCAGCAACTGCTGTCACTCACCACTTACACATGACAGACAACACTTCAGTCATATAAATCGTCTTTAATTGAGAAAGCGTGGAGACCTGGTTCTCTGGGAGCAGAGCCAGGAAATGAGTGGAGTCTGTGGGAGGGGGAATTATATGGGGGGGGGGCGTCTTTTGCAACAAGCCAGAGGTAAAAGAGCCTGAGGAAAAGTGACCAGCCTTTGAGCATACCCCCTACCTAGGGATCCTGCCCAAGATTAAAGTGGCTCAGGAGACGCCTTCCAAGTTCATTAATGTGATTCCCAGTCTTTCCTAGGTCTGCCACTAGCTCTGTGTTTTTATTGTTGTTTTTCTTTTTTTCAGAATCATCAAGTCCTTTGGGGGTACCTAAAACCAGGCTGAGGTTATAAGCTGTAAGGTAAAGCAAATTCTATTCAGAAGCTCTGAAGGTGTATGAGGTCTAGAGCCTAAGAGGTTCTCACCCTCCTTGGCCTTGACCTGTAGGGAACAAGAGGTGGAACTTATTGCTTAATTAGGGTTTCCTTACTGGGGAATGTCAAGTCTGTGTCCCATTTGTCCTTTTTTATTCTAGACTCATTATCCTTAAGGACCTCAGCTTTAAAGGGGACCTAGAAGGAATTCCTGCTGAGGTAGCTAAGTGTTCATGTCCCCCGCAACCAGACACAGGTTCAATTATGCTATGGTTTTGGTTCCTTCTTCCTCCCAAGTATAATAAGCCAAGGATCACTCCAAAATTCTATTCCCCTTCCCCAGACTCTGTTTTTCTGGCAGAAACCCATCTACGATGCAGGAACTAGAAACAGTATGTATAAATAAGAAAGAATAAAATTTTTAGAAAATTATCTAGGAAAAACAAGAAGTGGTTCTTGATTCAACTAGAACTAATTACTTGTCTATTTATTCCTTTTGTTGACAAAGGGTCTTGCTATGCACGTAGCCCAGTCTGGCCTCAATTTTTTTTCTCAATGTACTACCTCAGCCTCCTGAGTGCTAGTATTATAGGCATTTGCAACCATGCCTGGTTCAGAAATAATTAGTGCTTTATGAATCATAACTGTGTCCTTTTCAGAGTTCATTTTTAATAGATATTATTAGAGAAGATGGGAAGGTGGATCTAGAATTTACTCTAGAGCAATAATATGGCTATATAGGCCCTAAATCCATCCTGGAGAGAAGGGCTGAGAGTCATGGCCTATGTCTTAGAGCTGAGATTAAGGAGGAAATATGGCTCCAATAAAGGACTAGAACACCATGCTCTAGTATTGAGTGTCTCTGGGATAAGAAGGTTAAACCTCTGGTGACTTGAGACTGGTCCCAGTTCAGGCGAAGGCCAACAGCTAGATAGAGCTCAAATCCAGCCTTTTTTCTACTTAGAAGCCGGGATCCATCTGGGTCAAGAATAGAAGCCTGATGGATCCAAACAGACTTTGGTAGCATGTCTGAATTCCGTTGAAGAGCCCTAGTACAGAAATGGCCTTGTCTGGGGTGTCTGGTGTACAAGAACTTCCCAGACCAAGGCAAAAGGTAGAATGGGGACAGAAGGAAACTAATCCTGAGCTCCCGTGGATCTATAAATCTATGGCTCAGTGGCAATGAAAAGAAGTATAGAGCTGAGCTGGGGGTGGGGAATATTTCGGTCCTGGCTTTGTTAGTTTTGGAACCCCCAGCACCATCTCAGGAAAAGGCTTTGGGGGTTGTGTGATGGGGAAAAAAAATGAAGTGATCAGCCAGGACTATTTTCAGACATCCCCTTCTCTAACCCTCTCAGGGACCTAAGGCTCTAAAAGTCTCAGCAGCCAGCCCCTAGGCTTCTTCAGGGGAGAGCACCTAGTATATGGGACGTGGCTGTTCAGGGCATATGTGTGGCAGCAGGGGTGGACAGCAGGGCCAGGAGCAGGGCTGAGAGATAGGCTGTGGTGGTGGCTGGCTCACTTGCAGTCCACGGAGCCTCCAATCCAGGGACTACATCTCAGGGGGCAGGGGGACTGGAAGGGGAAGTCTCAGGGACACTGTGGAGAGAAGGCTCCCGGTACATGGCCACTGTGAAGGGGAGAGAGAAAGGAGCAGGGAAGGAGAGTTAGGCGCACAGAGACTCAGGTAGGACCCCTTGCAAGAGCTCCCTTCCCCTTCACTTACCCTCTGAGAACCCCAACCCAAAGAAGGAAGCTTCCCAAACCCCTAAAGGTTAAAGTCTTTCTGCCTTGGCCAGTTATAACAGTGTTTCAACATTCACAGCCTGATTTGTGTGTCACTAAATGTCTATGTTAAGGTCAAGACCCTCCCACATGCCCCACCTCTTCTTGAGTTTATACCCACCCTCCAGGAGTTTGGGCACAAAGTGGGCAGCTGCCTTGGTCTTCTTGACTCGATTTCCCTTCATAACTCGGCCTTCCTTGTCTAGGCCTAGGTACCAGGCCCTCCCAGAACGGCGTTGTCGGTAGAGAGCAGAGGCATAGAGGACATAGTAATTCTCAAAGACACATTCCTTAAAGCGACACTCAGCTGTGAAATGTGGCTGAGGAAACAAAGACCCAGAAAGGCATACACAGAGAGATAGAAAAACACATCACTGGCGGAAGGAAGCTCTTCAGAAGATGAAGCCAGGTTATAATGGAGGCGTGGGGGAGAAATGGGCAGGAGGGAGGAAATTGCTTCCTTCCCATGTAGGGACCACAGTAAAGTGAAGACAAGGAAGAGCTGGGTGAGCCACTGAGGGTTCCAAACCAGACTTGGGCACTGGGCTGGAATAAGATTCCTTCCCTCCTCTCTTTTAATCTCTATCCTGAATGAGAGCAGAAATGAGTAATAATGAAATCTAGAGGAGAGCGGCTGGAAACTGAACTCTGGAAAAGGCTGAGTCGAACTCCCAAAGAACCTGGGGGTACTTGGCTGGTTGGGGAGCAGGGATTAAATACACCCTAGAGAAGGTAGGTAGTAATGGTGATCAACCAAAACTGGAGGGAGGGGAGGAGTCCTGAGTGCAAAATCTGAGGCTAAGGAAGGTTGTATAGATTGGGGGTGTCCCCAGTCCCCCAGCTTCATTGTCTCACCGAGCTGTACAGCAGCCCCTCAGCATTCATGGCCATATAGTGTCCCAGCTTAGCACTCTGAATGGTGACCACTCGGAGCCCCACAGGGATCAGGTTGAAGTGAGCTGGAAGAGAGAGAACCTATCAGTACTCAGTCCTCTCATCTGAGCCTCTCCCTACCCCCTATCTTGTCTCTGCTGCTTGTGGGGGGGCAGGGAGGACGGATGGACTGAAAGCAACAGAGCTTGAAGAGGGAATAGGATTGTCATTTTCTGTCCCCATCTTCCCGCTTCCCACCCCAGCAGCTGGCTTCCCCTCTCACTGAAGGAGCTGGTGTCCTCTGGGGTGCCCTGGATGCTCCCGTCGGGATTCGCCTGGAGGTAGAAACCCTGGCGGCAGAACAGTTTGGTGACTATGCCTTTGAGCTGAGGCTCTGAGAGAGAGAGAGAGAGAGAAAGAGATTCATCTTTGAAAAATGACATCCCTGTTCCCAGAAACATACCTACAACTTGGCGGGATCACAAGAAATAAAGAAGGGAGAGGGTCTTGGGCCCCCAGCTCTCTTCCCTCCAAGGAAGCTCTCTCCCACCTCTCTTTGGCTCCTGGGGATTCGCTGGGAGGATGTGGGGGGGGGGGGGGAGTAGGTCCCTTGGGTTTCCTCTAACCAAGAGCTTTCAGTTTAATTTATTGAAATTTATTTAAATGGCTTAATTCCTACTCTACAGCTCAACCGGAGGGGGGAGGGGAGGGGAAGGAGGAGGAGGAGAGATACATCAAGAGGCATTAAAGAGAGACAAGCAGGGCTGCCGAATGGGCAGTGTGTTTGCGAATGTGGGGTGGAAGACGTCGAGGTGACCACAGAGAAGGGGCTCCCCCTCAGCAGTGGGGGTGGCCCTGGGCCTGACGCTGACTCAGCACCTGCTGCTGCGGCGGCCGCTGGGTTGGCTCGAGCCTTGCCTTGGCCCAGCGCCGGTCTGTCTGACACTGACCCATCTGTCTGTCTGTCTATCTGTCTGTCAGTCTGCTGGCTCACTGGGGGGTGGGGGGGGTACATTCTCCCTGAGGCTCAGTTCCCCCCCCCCCTTTCAGCCAGGTAACCTGCCTGGGATAGGGGACATTCAGACTATAGCAAGGAAATGGGGGGAGGGGGCCGGCCAGATGGAGAGGCAGGCTGAGTCACGTGGGGGCCGGGTCCCACTTGGAGGGTGGGCTGCGGACCGTACCACTGCGGAAAGCCGGTGGGGGGACGAGGGTGCGAGGGGCTACCTCTAGGGGAACTGGGAGCCGACTGGAGCGGGGCCAGAGGGGACTCCCTCCCTGACTGTTGGACCTGGATCGGGACCACATGCTAACCCTCACCACTCTTCTCTCCAGTCGCTGTTCGCTGCCGGCTTCCCCTGTCCCCCAGTGTAGGTGGTACGACCCCCCCCCCAAGTCTCTCTCTGCCTTTCTCCAGAGGTGAACTGTGTGTCGAGTTCCTCCTGATACCGGGTTCTTGGATCCTGTGGGGCCCGATTTCAGAGTCGCACGGGGGTAATGGGAGGGAGTGCCGGGTTCCCCTCTCGAGGCGCAGGTCTCAGGAGGAGGGCGCGCGGGGCGGGGCGGGGGGGGGGGGTCCTGGCTGGCGAGGTAGCTGCAAGGACACCCGAGGAAGAGCTGGGGAGACTGGCTCTGAGCTAGGCGAGCTGGACCGGGAGGAACGGAGCCAGGTCGGGGAAGAAGGGGGGAGAGCCGGAACGGGGGCGGGGCGGCCCGAGATGCAGAAAGTCTCCAGGTGACCCAGCGTCCAGAAACCCCCAGGCCCCTAGGCTCTGGATTTGAAAGAATCGCGAGAACCAGCACGTAGACAGAGGATGATGGGGGTGGGGACTCCTGTTTGGGGAGGGTAGGCTGGAGCTGCGAGGTTCGGGGCGCCAGATTCGGCCCCTCAAACCTTCTCCCCCCCCCCTTGCCCTCGAAAGCAAGGAGACTCGGCATTTTGGACGAAAGAGGAGGGAAATTGAGGCATGGCCCGATAGACTTTGTGGTCCTGACCCCCTCCCCTTCCACTTTTGGGGACCTCCCACTGTCGGGTGGCATTCTTCGGAGTCCCTGGCCTTAAGCTCCCAGGCAGAGAGACCCCGGACACCCCGCCCCAGCCGCACTCACCCGGGCCGCGGTCCTGCCGCGCGGGCCGCCCCCCGCACAGTCGCACCTTGGACAGCAAGATGAGGAGCTGCTTCTGGCAAAGGGACTTGGTGCCGCGGGGACACACGCGCCGCTGCGCCGACACCGGCCGGCTACCCCCGGGCTCACGGACCTCCCGCTTCTGCCGGATCAGGCTACTGGCCAGCGCCGCCATACCGCTTCGGGAGGAGACACCCCCAAACCAGCAGGCGCCCGGAGCGCGCTGGGCTCCCCAAGAGGAGCCCTCTCACCGGGGCATGTTGTGGATGTTCAGGAACCAACTCACCGCCCCACCCACAGGACCTGAGGTTAAGCCCCAAACTCCCCCAGGTGCCCCTACAGCCACCGGCTCCCACCCTTGCCCTCTGATCGCTCCAGCCAGCCGATCCAGCAGCCTGTGCGCTCCTAAATGGACCTCACCCACGAATTTTGTCTCCTACTGAAAACTCGCCTCCTTCGTCCTCTCCAGTGTCTTTGTCCTCACTTTCTCTATCCCAAAGCCAAGACCCCCAAATTCCTCAGAGGTAGTCCCAATAGCCCCAGGCCCCTTTCCTGCCAATCTTAGGGCCACCCACAGGCCTACAGCGCTTTTCTAATCCAAGGGTGTGGGTCCTCAGCCGTGGGGATATTAGCTCGCTCCACCCTTGCTGAGCCGCTGTCAATGTCAAGCAGGAACCCAACCGTGGTGCCTTTTGCTTTTCTCTGAACCTTCCAGTAGATCGCAGACTCTCCAGGCTGTCCAAGTTCAGTGAGAAGGGTTACCCAGACCTTGTACCTGGACAATGGCCTTTTTCACTGCCCCCCTCATTTCAGGCGGCACAGACTGCAGCTGCTCAAGACCCCTTCCTTCCCTCACCCGTCACCCTACCGCTCCTGTGGGGTCCCCTCCCAGTCAGCCCTGCCCAGTGCTTGTACACCAGGTGGTTTTCTAGAGGACCCTGTCACATCAAAACAAGGAGCCTCCCTCCCTCCCTCTCTGTCTCTCTCTCTCTGATTACCCCTTAAATTTCCTCAGGAACAGCTGGTGCTGTTTAGATCCCACGCCCTCTAGTCTAACCAGCCCCTCAAAAGAAGAGTGCACCCACGTTGTCACTACTTCCCAAATGTGATCAGGCCCCCAGTAAGTCAGAACAGCTTCCTGCGACGGGCTTTCTCGTCCTCCCGGGACTGCCTGAAGCACCCCCTCTTCCTTTCCCCGACGCCCCTCAACCTGTCCTGTCTTGTTGATCCAGAAGACGGGTGGCGCTGGCTCCAGCTGCAGGCTCCTCCCTCTCTGTCCCCCGCCAGCGGAGATTCCCCCCACGCCGAGCTGTGCGTCCCGGACCCCCAGGAAGGAGTAAGGAAGTCTCTGTAGAGCGCCCCGGTCCGGCGAAGTCAAAGCACTGGGCCTGGCGGCGGGACCAGGCAAGCGATGACAGCGGCGGCAGCGGCTGTGGGAAGCTGAGGCGGCGGCGGCAGCGGTGACAGCAGCTCCCCCTCCTCCGAGAGCCAGCCCGGGGGCGGGGCGGGGGGCGGAGACGCTGGGAAAGAGGGGGGTGATGTTGGGCGGGCGGAACCCTGGGGTTCCTTGGATGCTGGGAGTGGGGACCGTCTCAGAGGCAGGCGGTACAGCTGAGACAAGGCCGCACTTCTCACTTCTCGGTGTTCAGAGGAAGAGGGACAAGAAATTCTTCTGAACCGAACCCTGGATGGTCGAGAAGTTAGGGAGAGGTTAGGTGTCAGATGAAATGACAGTGGGCTGGAGAATGGAGAGCGACCCTAACCTGGGATGGAAGTGACGGTAGAACTGGATGAAGAAGGGGGTGGGGGGAGTGGAGATGGAGTTGGCCATGAGATCCAGCCTCAGGGTAGGGTAGGGGAAATCTTTTTTTTTGGGGGGGGGGGAGGGAGGGACTGGTTCTGGGGCTTGAACTCAGGGCCTGCGCCTTGAGCACAAAAGTTCAAGGATAGGGCTGGGAAGGTGGCTCAGTGGTAGAGCGCTTGCCTTGCATGCATGAGGCCCTGGGTTCGATTCCTCAGCACCACATAAGCAGAAAAAGCTGGAAGTGGCGCTGTGACTCAAGTGGTAGAGCACTAGCCTTGAGCTGAAGACCTGAGGGACAGCACCCAGGCCCACAGTTCAGGCCCCACGTCCAACAAAAAAAAAAAAAAAGAAAAGCTCAAGGATACAGCTGTACTGCTTGAACTACAACTCCATTGCTGGCTTTTTTTTTTTTTTTGGCCAGTCCTGGGGCTTGAACTCAGGGCCTGGGCACTGTCCCTGAGCTTCTTTTGCTCAAAGCTAGCACTCTACCACTTGAGCCACAGTGCCACTTCTGGCTTTTTCTGTGTATGTGGTACTGAGGAAGGGAACCCAGAGCCACATTCTCAGCCCCACTTCTGTTTTTATGTAGTTAACTGGAGAGAAGATTACATAGACTCCTTCTCAGGCTGAGTTTGAACTGCCATCCTTAGATCTCAGCCTGAGTAGCTAGGATTACACGCATGAACCACCAGCTCCTGTCAATAGTTCTGCGCTTTTATTTTTCAGATCATGGGCCTTGAACTCCGGGCCTCAGCGCTGTCCTTGAGCTCTTTTTACTCTAGTCAAGTGTTCTACCACTTTGAGCCACAGAGCCACTTCAGTTTTCTGGTAGTTTATTGGAAATAAGAGTCTCAGGAACTTTCCTGTCCTGGCTGGCTTTGAACTGTGATCCTCAGATCTCAGCCTCCTGAGTAGCTAGGTGTACAGGTGAGAGCCACCAGCGCCTGGCAGTATCTCTTATGCATGCCAAAGTGATCATATTCCATACCTCTCTCCCTTTCCATATTTTGTCAGCAAATTCATTTCTCCCATCCTTACTGACTTTAAAAGAATTGGGGAGAGATTTGCAGGAAAGGCAGCAGGGTGTTTGGGGGCTGGGTGGGTGGAGAGAATGGAAGAAACCCCTGGGAGGCCTCCTGGAAGTCAGACTTTGGGCCCAGGTCACAAGTGTGTCTCCCTTGGGAGAGGCAAGCCATCTTTTCGTCCAGCTTCTCAAAGGAACACTTTCCACCGGAGTAGGAGAGTCTTTAATGGGCCCCGCCCCCCACTCCCGCTAAACCACCTCCCTTGCGGGCAACCTTGGCTTCTTCCACCGCTGCTCGAAGGGCCTGGGCAGGGTCTCCGCGAAGCTGAGCCAGTGCTGCCAACAGGGCGACGGAGCTGGCCCCTGCATACAGCTTCCGACCGTTCAGAAAATAGTGAGGCAGCGTCCCGGCCTCGAGCACACGGCCCAGCTCATCCAGCAGCCCAAGGCAGCAAGCACCCGCATTTTCCGGCCGTGCCAAGTAGAGCGCGGGCAGTCGCTCGCACGCCCAGTACAGCAGCGTCCGCAGGAGGTAGGGCGCTGCGGTCCGGGTGCCGGCCACCAGCGGGCGCAGCAGCGCCTGGGCCGCCGCGTGCGCTTGCAGGAGCGGCGCTGGGATGCGCGCTTTGAGCGCCAGCTCCTGGCGGGCAAAACAGAGCTGCCAGCGGGAGGTGCCCGCTTGCTCGGTGCCACCTCCCGGCGCCAAGTAGAAGGAAGGCGTCTCGGAGGCCAGAGGACCCGCCCACGAATGGATCCGAGCACCTTCGGGCCAACCTGTTACCGATACCACGGGGATCAGGTCAAAGAGCAGGAGGCGGCGCGGGGGCCCGGGCGTGGTCAGGAGGATCGTGGTGAAACCCGCGTGTCGAGCTGCGTGTACCAGGCGCGGGGCGGCCGGCACCGGGGTTAGGGACTTAGCGACCTCAGCCAGAGTTGTAAAGAACCAGGCGGCCACCTGGGCCGGGCACAGTGTAGGCCACTCCTCCGGAGCTTCCGACGGTTTGGGGATTGGGCATTGGGCCGCCGCCCCGGGAACGTCACTACGCGTTTTCAAAACTGAGGTAGAACCATCATCGGTGACGTCATGCTGCGACGATTCGGTCCCTGAGAGGTCGCAGGGTGCTTTTCCCAGAGACTTGGGAGGCTCGTAACCGTGCGACGGGGCCACAGAGTCCTGCTGTCCTTTGTCACTTCTTCCTTCGCTACCGGTTTGCAGAATCAAATCGCGTTCGTCGGGGGCTGGGGGCCCTAAGCAGTCCTGCCAGGCGGCCCGCTCCGTGGCTTGGCACACCGGCCATGGGAGGCGGAGCCACGCGTAACTGGAGTCCAGATCCAGCTGTAGCTCTGGCCCTGTGCCGTCCAGCGAAAACACCGGCACTAGGAGGGTGAAGCCGGCGTCGTAGTGAGGTCCCCGGGTGTAGGGACCTAAGGGCGCATGCCCCAGATCCAGGGAGCCCTCGCGAATCCCACCGCGGAGCAGCAAGAGCTCTGCCTGAGCCGGAAAACGGGGATCCCGGCGATGAACTAGACCTAAAGGAAAACAGCGTCGTCTAAAAGCCGGATCATAGTGGGGTGGGGTGAAGCTGAGGGTTGCTTGTTATCTCCAGGCAAGAAGGGTTACTTACCGAGCAAAGAGAAGACAAAGTCCTTAGCCCGAAGGAGGTCGGCTCCCGGCTTGGGCCCGTCCCTCCAGCTCTCCTGCACACCCAGCTCCTGAATGAGCTGGGTCAGTTCCTGCAGCTGTGCGCCTGAGCAGAAGTCGATGTCCGTGAGCGGCCGGGCTGGAGCTGGGGGCGGTGGGCCCCACCAGGGGGCACCCCCCCAGACCGCGGAAGCCATGCTAGATCGTTATTTTTTTTGGCCTAGGGACAATTTAAAAAACCAACCGGAGGTTCCCTAGACGTGTCTATCCTTCTCTGCCCAAATCTCTCCGGTTCTTTTCTCTTTTCAGGGCCGAGTAGGTGCCCCAAGTCTATAAATGGACCTGCTGCTAATGAGTTCTTAGTTTTCAAAAATGAACAAATGAATACCTCCCTCGTCCTGGCCCTTTCCTCCTAAGCAGGTTGCGGCCCCTCCAGAACCGGTTCACCTGACTCAGCAGGCACTTCCTACCGATTGCACTAGCCAGTCATCGCCGCCGGTCCACCTGGTTCACCTTCCCGCCCCTGGTTCGCCTCCCTTGCTCTCTTTTTCAGGAGAGGTTTATAGATCTGTAGCTTCCCTTTCAGGTAGCTCCAAAAGTGGGGGAGGAAAAGGACGGAAGGATTCAACAGGTAACTTCTTCCTGATGCCCATAGGCCTACGCCCCTAAATTTTGACCACGCCCTTTTCTAGAGGTTGTCGGGGCGGCTCCGGACTGGTCCCGCCTCCAGTGAGCCTCAGTCCAGCCTTTCACGGCTCAGACAGCTCGTGCCTCCCTGGGAGTTGTAGTTCGTTTCTCCTGCTTAACAGCGCCGCCGTGGAGCCACGCCTCCACATCTTTTTTTTCCCTCCTCATTCAGCTGAAGTGGTGCCTAATGGAAGTTGTAGTTCCTATGATGATATAGTCTATCCCCACAGAAACATTCCTTGGAGTTAGAGGGATAATTGGTTTTAAACAGCAAATAATAAAGGGTATGTCCTATATTCCTTGTGTGAGTAGAAATACCCTGGTCACTTAGACATAAGGATCCTTTCATGAGATAATGATTTCCTTATTTTAGAGACAGAGACTGCAACTTAGAAAGGTTACAAATGATTTGAGAGGCAGAAGCAGAAAGATTGCAAGTTGAAGGCCAGCCTACCCTTTCTTAAACAAAAAGTTGGCTCATGCCTGGAATCCTCAGACCTGAGGATTCACTGTTAAAAGCCAGCCTGGCCAGGTGCCAGTGGCTCATGCCTGTAATCCTAGCTACTCAGGAGGCTGAGATCTGAGGATCTCGGTTCAAAGCCAGCCCGGGCAGGAAAGTCCATGAGACTCTTATCTACAATTAACCACCAGAAAACTGGAAGTGGCACTGTGGCTCAAGTGGTAGAGTGCTAGACTTGACTTGAAGAGCCTAGGGACAGGGCCCAGGCCCAGAGTTCAAGCTCCATGGTCTAACCACCGGCCCCCCCCCCCAAAAAAAAAAAAAAAAAAAGCCAGCCTGGGCAGGAAAGTCCAGGTTTTTTTGTTTTGTTTTTTTGGGGCACTGTCCCTATGCTCTTCAGCTCAAGGCAAGCACTCTACCGCTTGAGCCACAGCACCACTTCCGGTTTTCTAGTGATGTATTGGAGATAAGAGTCTCACGGACTTTTCTTCCCCAGGCTAGCTTTGAACCACGATCCTCAGATCTCAGCCTCCTGAGTAGCTAGGATTACAGGCGTGAGCCACCGGTGCCCAGCTGAGATATTTTCTTTCTTCCCATCCTTTTTTCTCTTTTTTTTTCTTTGTGCCTGTTCTGGTGCTTGAACTCAGGTGCTGACCCTGAGCTTTTTCTCTCAAGGTTGACATTGTTAGTATTATGCCCACCTTTGGTCCTCAGCTCCATCCATACCTGAGCCCTTTCTAGCCCTGGAGTTCTCGACATACAGTTGGCCCCTCCCTCTCTCTGCCCAGACCCACCTGAGCTCCAATTTACCTCACTTCCTACCCAGAGACTCCCCTGATACCTGGATAGAGATTGATCCCATGTGTTCCCTCTCTAGGGGAAATATGGCTCCTCTAATAAACCTTGTAATAATCTTTCTCCTGTGCCTGTCTGCCTTTGTGTGGTCCCTTGGGATGGATGTGATGGATCCTTTCAGGCACTCTACCACTTGAACCATACTTTCACTTTTAGTTTTTTGCTGATGAATTTGAGATAAGATTCTCATGGATTTTTTTAACTTTTTTTTTTTTTGGCCAGTCTTGGGCTTGAATTCAGGGTCTGGGCATTGTCCCTGAGCTTCTTTTGCTCAAGGCCAGCACTCTTACCACTTGAGCCACTTCCAGTTTTTTCTGTGTATGTGGTACTGGGGAATTGAACCCAGGGCTTCATGCATGCTAGGTAAGCACTCTACCACTAAGCCACCTTCCCAGCTCCTCTTATGGACTTTCTTATTCTGGCTGGCTTAGAAGCACAATCCTTAGATCTCAGCCTCTAGAGCAACTAGGATTTCAGGCATGAGCTACTAGCTCCCAGCTTGGAGATATTTTCTTAAATTCAGTGATGGTAACTTTAGGGTAGGAACAGACAGGGCCTAAGATTGTAATGGACATATGACTGGTGGAAGAGAGACATACTAGGAACACCCACCTCAGACGTGGAGGAGTCCTGGTAGGGAAAGCACTTGGGAATTTCACAGTTATTTGTACACAGAAGAGTTATCAGGGCTGGAAAAAAATAAAATAAAATAAAAAGGCCGGAGGAAACTCAGCTTGGCTAGGTAAGAGCAATGGAAAAAAAAAACAATTTGGGGGGGGGGGGGAGTCTGGTTGTGGGGTCTGAACTCTGGGCCTGGGCTGGGCACTGTCCCTCACCTCTTCAGCTCAAGGCTAGCGCTCTACCACTTGAGCCACAGTGCCACTTCTGGCTTTTTTCTGCTTATGTGGTGCTGAGAAATCGAACCCAGGGCCTCATGCATGAGAGACAAGCACTCTTCCACTGAGCCAACTTCCTAGCCCCTGGAAAATAATTAAGGGAAGGAAACTGCTTTCAGTAACCTAGGCTACCAGGGCCCAGAATCAGGGGTCAAATACAGCTCCAACACAAAGTAGAACCAGGAGCCAGGATAATGGATTAGGAAGTCAGGAAACTACTAGTAGGTTTGTAGATCAGAACAATCCATTGGTGGACTGGACTTTTATATTTTCTGCCTATAATCTCTCTCTTTAGAATGGGATAGGCCTAAATATTTGGACATGAGAATTAAGCAGAGACACTTGAAAAATTAAAGGTCTATAAAGGAAAAGCCTATAAAGACTACAAGAACCAGAGCTCTGGGCTTGGAAGGTGGCTCAGTGGTAGAGTGCTTGCCTTGTATGCATGAGGCCTTGGGTTTGATTTCTCAGCACCACATAAGCAGAAAAAGCCAGAAGTGGCGCAGTGGCTCAAGTGGTAGAGCACAAGCCTTGAGCTGAAGAGCTGAGGGACAGCACCCAGGCCCAGAGTTCAGGCCCCACAACTGACCAAAAAAAAAAAAAAAAGAAAGAAAGAAAAGAAAAACCAGAGCTCCATTTGGGAAAACTACACCTCAGAGGTCCCAATTACTGACAGACCTTTCCCCTTAGCCACTAGGAGTGGGGAACTGAGATCACCAAACTACACTCAAGAGGCCATATCAGGAGAACTGAAGACTAGGTACGTTCTTAGACAAGGGTAACCAGGCATCAACCATCACCTCCTCCCTAGAGGATGACCTCTGAGCCACCCTAAAACAAGGTTTAGCCAGGGGCCGGTGGCTCACACCTGTAATCCTAGGTACTCAGGAAGCTGAGATCTAAGGGTCATGGTTCATAGCCAGCCTGGGCAGGAAAGCCCATGAGACTGTTATCTCCAATTGACTACCAGAAAACTGGAAGTGGCACTGTGGCTCAAATGATAGAGTGCTCACCTTGAGCTGAATTGCTGAGGGACAGCACCCAGGCCCAGAGTTCAAGCCCCATGGCCAAAACAAAAGAACAAGGTTCAGCTGGGCATGTGGCTTAGTGGTGGGTAGACTGCTTGTCTAGCACTCATGAAGCCCTGGGTTCCATTCCTCAGTACCACATACACAGAAAAAGACAGAAGTGACGCTGTGGCTCAAGTGGTAGAGTGCTAGCCTTGAGCACAGAGAGGCTCAAGGACAGTGCCCAGGCCCTGAGTTCAAGCCTCAGGAAAAAAAAAAAGGACAAGGTTTGGGGAATGTTGAACGCTTCTTCAACTCTAAAGCATTGTTTTCCAGTGCTATGGGATTTTTCTATGATGGAAATATCTTGAATCCAAGCTTTCAAACACAGTAGTCACCATCCACATGGAGCTGTTAAGCTCTTGAAATGTACATGAGGCTGATAATATATATATATAATATTGTATTATATAACAATATATATGTATATATATTTTGTTGTTGTTGTTGGTTGTGAAGCTTGAACTCAGGACCTGGGTACTGTCCCTGAGCTATTTTTGCTCAAGGTTAGCACTCTACCACTTTGAGCCACAGCACTGCTTCCAGTTTTTGGGTGGTTAATTGGAGTTGAGAGTCTCCTAGGGATTTTTCTGCCCAGGCTAGCTTTGAACCATGATCCTCATCAGCCTGCTGAGTAGCTAGAATTATAGGCATGAGCCACCAGTACCCAGCTAAACAATTTTTTTGAGACAAGGTCTTGCTATGTACCCTATTTTATTTAGAAAATTATCTGCTTAATTTTGCCTGGTCCTAACATACCCAAGCTGGCCTCAATCTCTGATCCTTCCACCTTAGCCATTTAAGTGCTGTGATTCCAAGCATTTGCCACCATACTCAATTCAGAATTTTAAATTTTAATTGACATTGTTGTAGACGCATTTGGCTAGTGGCTACTTACTATATTGAAAGTGCAACTCTAGAGCCTGAAAGATAATGGACTTGGCTATGGAGCTATGGAGAAGAAGCAGGGACATTATAATTCCAGTCTTTATCAGGCTCTGTGGGTGGTCAGCATCAGGGGTGGGGCTGAGATAGATGTCCTCAAACAACAACAGAACGTTTCTCTTGCCTCTTTATTCTTGATGAACATTTGCCCCGTCTTTACGCAAGGTCCTCATCACATTCTGATTTCCCCACTCTTTGAAGGTCTCTCTTGAGTTGCTGGGTACCTCTTGATAAAAGCGCCTGGGAGATAGAGCTTCACACTTATCCCTGCCCACTGCTAACTGTCTTTGGCGGGCATCAAAGACCACATGCCCTGCCCGGGTGCCTGGTCCAGGGCAATGGGGCCTCCAGTTGTTTTTTGGTGGCATAGACACCCGGTGATAGTTCTGGCAGGTTGAAGGAGTTGTATCCACAGGATGGCATACCCAGTTTTGGCTGCCTGTCTTCCAGGATGATGGCTTCAACTCCACTAATACAGGTACCTCAGAGAAGGTGTGCAGGTTAGTGGAGATTGCCTGGGCCTTTGAAGGGCAGGGATTTTGATTGTCTGGAATAGACCAGGATACATGCTGTTCTGCCTCCTCTTGAAGAGGCATTTCATATATATAGGATTTGATTGAGGAAGATGTTGGTTTCTGAGTCTGATGTGGATTCAAAACTTGGGCAGAATTGGTACCTGGAAGGCAGCTTTGGTTTTTGTGAAGGCCAGGATCTGGGACAAGGCATGAATCTCTGTGGAGGCCTGCTTTCTGGGTAAGGCCTAGATTCTGGGGGAGGCCAGAGTCTTGAACATGTGCTAGATCCTTGTAAAGGCTAGGACATTTATTTATTTCTGGACATTTGTGGAGGTTAGAGTTTTGGCTAGGTTCTAGGTTCCTATAAACTCCAACATCTTGAGCAAAGTTCAATCTTTTCTCAACTTCAGTGGCTTTAGTAAAGTCCACATTTCTGTGACGATTGGAATCTTGGGTAAGACCTGGGATCTTGTAGACTCCCGAATCTTGTGTAAGGACTGGATTCTTGTAATCCCCTGAGTCTTGAGTGAAGTTTGAGCCTTTATGGAGGCATGATCTTTTGACAAAGCCTAGGCTCTTGTGGTGACCAGATTTTTGGGTAAGTTCTGAGCTCTTGATGACTTTAGAGTCTTGGGTAAGGCCTGAGCTCTTCTGCGGTCTAGAATCTTGGGTACAGCCTATGTTCTTATAGATTCCTGGATCTTGGACATTGCCTGCCCTCTTGTAACCCCCAGAATCGTGAGAATGGCCTGACCTTTTAGGGTCAGTTGCTGGGGAAAGATCTTGACTTTTGTAGATTTCAGTGTCTTGGTTTAACCCAACATTTCTATAGTCCCTAGAATCCTGCATACAGCCCTGGGTCCTCTGAGGTACAGAAGTTTGAGTAACCGTTATGTTCTTGTAGGGGCCAGAGGATTGGGTATGACATGGAGTCTTAAAGACACCAGAGTCTTGAGTAGGACCTAGACTCTGTGGAAGGCCAGAATCTTTAGTAGTATCTGGATTTGTGTGAAGCCAAGAGTCCTGGGAAGGAATTGGATTCTTGCAGAGGTAAGGATCTCGAGGAAGGCCTGGCTTCTTGTGGAGATCTGAATTTTGTGTAAGGCCTGGGTTTCTGGGAACTCTGGAGTCTTTTGAAAAGCCTGAGGTCCTTTGAAGGCCATAGTTTGGGGTAATGCTTTTACTCTCAGAACATTGGGGTTGGCTCAAGGGCTGGGGATTGGTAGAGAACTGAGGAGGAATGGGGAAGTGGGAGGCAGGGACAGATGGAGATGACTTGGAGGTTGGTGTTTGTGTTAAATTGGAGGGCTTCTGAACGTTGCTGGGTTGAGGAAGGACAAAGGTTCTGGGAGGCACAAGTGGAAGAGAAAGAGTACATGGGGGAGGAGTAGTGGGCATTGAGCCTTGGGTAGTGCTTGGAGAATGCAAGCAAGGTTTCGAAGCAGCAGCATCTTGGGTGAAAACCAGGAACTTGGGGTAGAAAGGAACCTGTGCTTCTATGTCTTTCTTCTCAGAACTGCAAGGATGGAAGCTGCAGTAAGGGAAGGTCTTGGGCTGGCAGGGCTTATCTTTGGCATCTTCTGAGATCTTCCATTCCATGTTCCCCAACTCAAGGTAGCCCAGTATAGATCCTGAAGGAGGCTCAGTGTTGTCTTCACCATGTTGCTTTGATGTCTTCTCAGATGGACCAGAACTTACCAGGCCCTGCACCTCTTGGGACCGGGAGAAGGTACCCAACTCCTTTCTAGAATACCTAGCATTCTGGGGATCACATTTATGGATCATATTCTGCTTTGCCCTACGGGCATCATAGACTACATGACCAGTGGAGAGGCTAGAGCCAAAAGTAGCCAAGGTGGGAGGAATATGAGTTAGGTTGGGTTTAGGGGTGGTGACAGAGACAGGAGTAGGGGCTGGAGTGGTTGTCGTGCCCCTAGCTAGTGCTGAACCACTGGCTGAGGTAGAGGTTAGGACAGGAGGAGTGGCTAGGGCAAAAGTTAGGAAATGCTTTAGGGTAGAGGTTGAGGTACAGACTGGGTTTGGGGCTGGGGTACAGATTAAGGGAGAGGTTAGTGCAGAGGTTGGTGCAGTGGCTAGGCTTTGAGCATTGGAATGAATTAGATGAGAAGGGCCATGCACTGGGACTTGGGTTGAAGTGTGCTCAGGGCTGTGAGTTTGGGAGTTGGTCCAGGTCTGAGCTGAGGTATAGATTGGATTATGGCCCTGGGAGCGAGCTGGAACATATTCAGGGGCTGTGGCAGGACTTTGGGCTGGGGCCTGGGATGGGGTAGGAGCTGGGGCCTGGGGTGGGGTAGGGGCAGAAACCTGGATTGGAAGAGGGGCTAGGGTATTGGTCTGTTCTTGAGTTGAAGCAGGAGTCGTGATGGGAGTTTGGCTATGAGCATGGTCTGGGATGGAAGGTGGAGCATGGGCTAAAGCATGAGTTGGGGTAGGTAGGGCTGGAGCATCAGCCAGAATAGGGGCTGGGGCATGAGCTAGGGTGTGAGTAGGTTCTGAAATAGGGACTGGGGCATGGGCGGGTTGGGGATGGGCTGAGGTGTTCGGAAGAGCCTGCACTTGGGATGGGGTATGCTCTGGAGTGTGGGTCTGGGACTGGGTGGTGGTTTGCTCAGTGCTGTGGGTTAAGGAGTAAGGTTGGGCCTGGGCAGGAGCAGAAGTTGGGTCATAGTCTGGGCCTTTAGTCTTGCTGTCTTGAGGTAAACAGGGTGAAACCACGTCCAACTTGTTCATCTTTGGAAATTGGGAACAAATCTCTGTTCTGGCGTTTGAAGATGTGTGGTCCTTCAAGTTTGTTACCTGAAAGGCTTCTCCAGTTCCCATCATCTCCTCCTTCCATAGTCCCCAGGGAGCCTCTGTTGGAGCCCCAGCATACACACATTGAGGTGGTATCCAGCCACATCTAGAAACTTTCTCATCATTCCTATCTGGTTCCCAGGATTCAAGGTGATTAGTGTGCCCGAGCAAGAAGCTGGGGCGACGATGAAAGCGGGAAGAGACTCTTGAGAATAGGTTCTTGGAATCAGCAGTGCAGCGCGTGCACACAGGCCGGCTACTTAGACTGCTGGGTTGCTTGGCTGCAAAGAAAGAGGAATGAGACAATGCTTGGGGACTCAAGAAACTATGGGGGATAGAGAGAGAGAAAAGGGACAACCATATTTCCAGGACCCCATGCCAGGGTCCACTCACCTCTGGGGAAAAAATGGTGGAAAATAATCCGTAAGGAGCTCTTCAGATGCCTCCAGAGCTAAGAGAAGCAGAGAAAAGGGAAAGAGTCCAGTGTAAGATAAGTCTTGAAGCTCAACATGTTTCTGACCACAATCCCAGCAATCATCCCTTCAAGACTGGAGAGACAGGGCTGGGAAGGTGGCTCAGTGGTAGAGCGCTTGCCTTGAATGCATGAGGCCCTGGGTTTGATTCCTCAGCACCATATAAGCAAAAAGAAAAAAGCCAGAAGTGGCACTGTGGCTCAAGTGGTAGAGTACTAGCCTTGAGCTGAAGAGATGAGGGACAGCGCCCAGGCCCAGAGTTCAGGCCCAGGACCAACCAAAAGACTGGAGAGCCAGCTGGGTGCTGGTAGCTCATGCCAGAAGGCTCAGATCCAAGGATCTGGGTTCCAAGCCAGCCCAGGCAGGAACTCTGTGAGACTTAGCTCCAATTAGCTACCAAAAAGCTATATATGGAACTGTTACTCAAATGGTAGAGTACCAGCCTTGAACAAAAAAGCTCAGGGACAGCACCCAGACCCACGCATGCATGGCATGCACACACGTGCAGGCACGCTCGTGCACGTGCACACACACACACACACACACACACACACACACACACACACACACCAGTGAGGAACCCTGGCCAAACATAATGATGCACACCGGTAATCTCAGCACTATCAGGAGAATTTTAAGCCAACATGGAATACATAGCAAAACTCTATCAGAAAACAAAACCCCCCTCCCCACCAAAACAACCAAACAAAAACCAAAAAAAGACCAGAGCTCCCTCAACCCTGTTACCCAGTCCCTGTCCTAACCAGAGTCACCACATTGATCCCCACGTTGAGCAAGATGAAGCTGCCCAGAATCAGAAGAATTGAGTCTCCTAAGTCCTGACACTTCCTGGGGTTGGTGCCAGAGCATGCTTGGGCTCCATGGTGGGCTGGCTCACCCATAGCCTGGGGTCCCAGGACTACCTGGACCCCTTGGTTCCCACATACCCACCAGGACTCCTCTGGTGGGGGAGGGGAGAAGGATTGAATCATAATGGGACAGATGGTTGGGATCATAATGAGGGAGAGGAGAAGGAAGGGGGCCAAGGTGGAGCTCCTTGGTAACCAGGCCTGAAAGCTTAAGCTCCATCACTAACCCCAATTGTTTCCCCAGTGTTGATTTGTTTGGTTTGTTCAAATAGTCCTTGTTCTACCATTCTGGCAGTATCAATTGAGCATCTAGAATCCTTTACCCCTTGGCCATTCTTGAAAAAAACCTTGGCCTCAGAATCCTGGTTGGAATTGAGAGCCTTGGTCTTTTTCTTGGTTACACTGGACCACAGACAGGCCTTGATCTGCTTAGTACTCTAAGGTCTTGATTTTATGTGTGTGTGTGTGTGTGTGTGGTGTATGTGTGCACATCCACACATCCACACACACACACACACACACACACACACATACCACACACACACACACCAGTCTTAGGGCTTGAACTCGGGGCCTGGGCACTGGAGCTTTTTCACTCAAGACTGGTATTCTTACTATTCGAGCCATAGTTCCACTTCTGGCTTCTTGCTAGTTAATTGGAGATAAACTTCATGTACTCTTATCTCTGGCTTCTGACCTGTTTCTTGAGCAAAACTGAGCCTCTGAGCCTGCTTTGGGATCAGAAAATCAGAGAAACAATGTGCTCTCAGAGACCCATGGTTTGAAGTCTGCAGCTGTTTGAAGACAGTGCACAGTAAAGGACTGTTGGCAGAACTGGCTGCTAAGCCTCATGTAAAGAAGGCTCAGGCCTATAATCCTAGCTACTCAGGAGGCTGAGATCTGGGGATTGAGGTTCAAAGCCAGCCTAGGCAGGAAAACTTGTGAGACTTTGAACTTTGATTAGCCACTACAAACCGGAAGTGGAGCTGTGGTTCAAGAGATTAGGCAGAAGCCTGAGTTTAAGGTGGAATTTTTGTTCAAGCCCCAGTAAAGGCACACACACACACACACACACACACAGACACACACACACACAAAGTGTAGGACATTGTCCCTGAATCCAAGCCCAAGGCTCCAGGCTGGCAGGAGAGGCGCTTCCAAACTACACACTACAGTTTTATGAACCTTTTCTTTATTCTTCTCCCCATGCTCTGCCTTACCACCCACATCTGCCTTCTGATCAATTGAGTTTCCCAGCCCTGCTCCTGTGTAGAGAAGGCCGTGAAGTTGTGGTGGAAGGTGGTGGCAGTGAGCTGGCTCGAGCCCTGCTCTCTTGCACCTGCCGCTTCAGCTCCAGGCTGTCATACACCTGGTAACCTGCCTTGCCACCTGGATTCCTGCTCAGTGGGATGAAGTTGGTGGGGGGTGGGGCAGGATCAGCCTGGGCTTCCTCAGACTGAGGCTGGGAGGCTAAGCCAGCAGTTGGGGCCCGCAGATAGGTGGTCTCACCTAACATTGTAAGGGAGGTAGTTGCGGTCAGAGGGTGCCGAGAGGGCAGAGTGTCAGCCCAGTCGGCGCCCCTGCGGCGGACCTCATGAGTATCCCGGGAGCTGTAACTCAAGTGTCCCATGGATGGGTGTGGGCTGCGGTTGGGCTGGCCGTGAGCATGGCTAGGGAGGCTTCGATGATGGGATTGATGAGGGATGGAATCCCGGCAGCCCTGGCTCTCCAGCCGAGAGTTCCGGGACACAAAGGCAGGTGAGGGATCAGAGCCTTCCACGCCATGCCGGCGCTGTTCCCACGCATCATACAGTATCTGGCCCCTTGAAGAGTAAGGACTGTGCCCTACAGGGGTCCAGGTAGGGTTAGGAGGAAGCCGGCGGGGAGACTGTGGGGATGAGGCCCACTGTTCTGTCTCCACATTGCCCCAGAGTCGCGACTGTGAATAATTGGGTCCAAAGGACTGAAGCCTCAGCTCTGATTTGGCCTCCACGCGCTTGGGCAAGCGACGCAGCTCTGGGGACAGGTAGAGAGAGGGGGGTGGCAGGCTGGCCAGGATCCCACCCTGGCGGCCCCAGAGCCCCACTTTGGAGGGCAGAGCCATTTGCTTATGGAATCTACCACAGGCCCTCTGTGGGTACTTGGGAAGTGAGTAGCATGGGTCTTCTACTTCTGAGCAGGAGTCTCGGTCCTCCATGTCATAAAAGGGCACCGGCATCTTGCAGAGGCTCTGAGGTTTGGTACAAGAGACTGGGCAGTTACGGAAGAATTTTCTGGTGTTCTTTGGCTTAGGCTGGTGTCTGCAGCGGTGGCGATGGCGGGGACTGCGGTGGCGGCGGCGGCGGCGGCGGTGCTGGCTGCAGTGATTGCGGAGATGGTGATAGGAAGAAGAGGAACAGCGTGTGGGTTGGGCCATCTTTACCTGAACAGGGTCCAGAATGCAGCGAATGTGAATGTCCTTGTTCGTGGCTGGGGGATCTTTGGGAGGACTGTTACTAGCCTGGACTTCACCTGAGGGAGACAAGAGTTCACAAGACCAGGGCAATTGCCAGGATTGGGGCAGGGTTTTCTCTCTCTTCGTTCTTTCTTTTCTTTCTCTTTCTTTCCTTTCCTTTCTTTCTTTCTTTCTTTTTCTTTCCTTTCTTCCTTCCTTCCTTCTTTCCCTCCTTCCTCTCTTTATCTCCCCCCTCTTTCTTTCTCTTTCTCTTTCCTCTTTCCTTTTCCTTTTTCTTTTTTGAGGTGGGGGTGGGTCACCCAGGGTCTGAGCACTGTTCCTAGGCAGTTTTGCTCAAGGCTAGCACTCTACCACTTTGAGTCACAGCTCCACTTGTGGTTGTTTTGTTTTGTTTTGTTTTTTGACTGGTTAATTGGAGATAAGAGTATCTCAGGGATTTTTCTGCCCAGGCTGGCTTTGAACTGTGGTCCTCAGATCTCAGCAACCTGAGTAGCTAGGATTACAGGCATAAGCCATCGGCGCTCAGCTCTGTTTCATATATATATATATGAGTCATATATATCATATATTATCTTTAAGTAGTTGCTGCCCAACAAAGCAGTTTATGAATATAATGCATCTTGATCAATGTCACTCCTTTCATCCTTTCATTATTCTCCCCCACCCCATCCCCAGGGAAGGATTTTCTAGGGCTGTTGTAGTTACACCTCTACCTGCAATACTTACGCTTGAGATTTATCCGATAGAAAATCTTGTCTAAAGCATTCTGGAGTCCATGCCATATCTGGGGGTAGTGGGAGAAAGGGGACTAGAGGTCAGGCTCTCTACCCCCACCCTGACCCAGGCAATCCCACTCCTGCAGGCAGAGGTACAAGCTATGGCTTGTTCCCCTCTTCAGCACTTTTCACCCCTTGGGATGGTCCACAACCATCACTGACCATAGCTGCCACATTGACACTTATGTTCACAAGAATGATGAGGCCTAGCAACAGGAATAGGATGTCCTCAGTATCCTGTGGGCCTTCTTGGTATTGGTTGCAGCACCCCAGGGCATCATACCATAGCTGGTTTTCCATGGTGGGGGGGTCCTAGGGCCACTTGGGCCACCCCCCCCCCACCAGGTCCCAACCCACACTGTACTCATGCCAGTACCTGGAGATACCTACCAGCCTGGGAGGGAGCCAGGTCATAATGAGGCAAGTTGGGGAGAGTCATAATGAAGAGGTGGTATCTCTTTTAGCCACTCTGCTGACCCTTTATATGGTCCATCTTTTTCATTGGCTTCTACTTGATGAAAGCCAGCCCCCAGATACTCCAGAGTTGTCTCTTTCTTTGGAACCCACATCTGGTTTGTTCCTGATCAGAAAATATGGAAGCTATAGTCGCAACAATCTTCACACAATCATCCATAAAGGGTTTCCTCCATTTCACTCCTCTTTTCAGGTTTGCCTACTTTGGGACCAGCAACTAGAGAAACTGATAGATGCATAACAGCAATGCTTTGGGGGCCTGGCTGGGTGGCACACGACTTTAAGCACTTGTGAAGCTGAGGCATGGTGGCAAGTTCTAAGCTAGCCTAGAGACTTTGTCTCAATAAAAACTCTCTTCTGGGGTCACCTGTGTGTGCCAATTCTTACTCTCTCCTGACCATTTTCTTTAGCACATATCCCTGCCCAGCCCTTCCTGGCCAGGGGTTTCAGCCCTAGGTGTTGTTGGTCCCTGAGTCCACTGGTTGCTTCAGAGACAGAATTCCTCCTTGCTTAGGTTGTTGTACCTATCAATGACCAGCCCCATCTACAGTTTCTCTCTTCCCATTGACCCATCCTTATTCCAAGTTGAAAAACTGGTAGCTGTAAGGAAACCAGTGTATAGTTGTAATGCAGGCCTATAATCCTAGCACTAGGAAGACAAAGCCAGGAGGAACTCAAGATCTAGGCCAGCTTGGGTTACTCAGTGAGTTCAAGACCAGTCTAGTTCAAGACTATGTCTCAAAAACAAAAAACATGCCAGGCACCAGTGGCTAACACCAGTAATCCTAGCTATTCAGGAGGCAGAGATCTGAGGATCGTGGTTCAAAGCCAACCCAGGCAGGAAAGTCCGTGAGACTCTTATCTCCAATTAACCACCAGCAAACCAGAAGTGGTGTTATGGCTCAAGTGGCAGAATGCTAGCCTTGAGCTGAAGATCTCAGGGACAGCACGCAGGCTTAAGAGTTCAAGCTCCACGACCGACCCCCCCCCAAAAAAAAAATACATGAAGTTATTAACAAAGTATAAAACACATGTAATTGTTTACAAAAGGAGTCTTTTATGTAAAATAGGTTCATCATTGGAGTCTCACAATGGTACCCTGAGGATGACAAGTCAGTCAGAAAGTAAACTACTCAGCATATGAAGGACAGGCCAGTGAACATTTTCCATCAACTTCCAAATACATAGCCAGGTGCCAGTGGCTCTCTCCTGTAACCCTAGCCACTCAGGCATTTGTGATCTGAGGATCATGGTTTGAAACCAGCCAGGGCAGAAAACTCAAGAGGGATTCTTATCTCCAATCAACTACTCAGAAAAAGCCAGAAGTGGCATTGTGGCTCAAGTAGTAGAGTGCTAGCCTTGAGCACAGAGTCTCAGACAATGCTCAGGCCCTAAATCCAAGCACCAGGACCAGCAAAATTAAAGAAGTAGGGATTCACAGGTCTGCTCACATTCCAGAAATCCATCTAGTATGGAAGATAAGTTCCAGTTCCTTCAGCTTGGTTGTACTCACATAGCAACTTGTTCCCAAGATATGTGTGTGCATAAGAAACCAGCCTTCCACCCGGCACCCTTGGCTCATAGCTGTAATCCTACTCAGAAGGCTGATTTGAGAATCGCAATTCAAAGCCAGACTGGTCAGAAAAGTCCACGAGACTCTTACCTACAACAAATTACCCAGAAAAAGCCGGAAGTGGCACTGTTGCTGAAATGGTAGAGCACTAGCCTAGAGCACAAAGCAGCTCAGGGGCAGCACCTAAGCAAGCCCTGATTTCAAGCCTCAGGATCGGCCAAAAAAAAGAGCCCAATCTTCTAGGAGTAAGACAGGAGTGGAGCAGGGATTGAGTTTCCTGGCTGCCCAGTGGGTGAAATATTCTGATGAGATCACATGATAATCTGTGTAGGTGAAATATTCCAGTGGGCTAAGCTGGTTCCATGGCAATGGAAATCTACCAGCAGGAATAGGGATCTACCAGCAGCATCTGGGGCCATGAACTTGATTCTTGTCTATGTGATCATGAGCAAGTCACTTGGCCTCTCTGAGCCTCAACCTCTAATTTGTGACATGGACAGGAATAACAAAGGGCTGTGATGTTATGGTGAGCTATTTCTTGAGAGAATGTCCCCAGTATTTCATCTCTTGCTCCAAGCTTGCTAGAAGGTACCGTAGCTTCAGGTTATATCTGGGAAATTCTGAGGACCTAGACACCCTCCCTCTCAGTTACCTCTGTCCAAAGAAACCAGGGTTTAAGAGAAACTCACTCTCTTTGGAGCTGCAGCCTAAATCTGGGCTCTGGCATGGACCAGATCTCTGGCAAGGCCCCAGACCTAGAGCCATAGGAATGTGAGTCTCTTTAGTGTACAAGTACCTGGGGTGCTGGATTTTGGGGCCTTCCTAGAGCACAAAGAAAAGAAAAAAGACAAGACAAGCTGGGTGCCAGTGGCTCACACCTGTAATCCTAGCTGCTCAGGAAGCTGGGATCTGAAGATCTCCATTCAAAGCCAGCCCAGGCAAGAAAGTCTGTGGGATGCTTATATCCAATGAACCACCAGAAAAATCAGAAGAGGTGCTGTGGCTCAAAGTGGTAGAGCACTAGCCTTGAGCAAAAAAAGCTTAGAGACAGTGCCCAGGCCCTGAGTTCAAGTCCCATGACTGACAAAAGCAAGGAAGGGAGGGAGGGAGGGAGGGAGGAAGGAAGGAAGGAAGGAAGGAAGGAAGGAAGGAAGGAAGGAAGGAAGGAAGGAAGGAAGGAAGGAAGGAAGGAAGGAAGGAGCCTTGAAACTAGAGGACCCGGGAGAGGGTCCAGAACAAGACCTGTGAGGGCAAGAGGCTGATGAGGGACCCAACTCACACATTTCCTTAGTAACCAGGGATTCTGGGTTCTCTGTGGGCCTTGCCTCTTCCACACTATCGCAAACCAACTACTCTCTCTTTTTTTTATTTTATTTCCCCCCCATTACCTCCCTTTGAGGGAACGATACACCCAGTCCTTTTTTTTCCCCTCGGCAGAGTTGGATCCAGAAGTAAAGGGGTAGCAATGGGATAAGGCCTCTACCTCCTGGGTCAGTTCTCGAAGCCTCCGTCTCACATCTCGGGCATCATACACTATTCGGCCTGAGGAGGAGCGCCGGGAGATTTCAGGGACAATTGCGGGGCCCAAGAAGGTAGATGGGGCAGGTTGAGACTGGGCTTCCTCAGCCTCAGCACAGGTCCCTATCCTCACTCCATTATTTTTGTGGTTCAGAGCCTCTGGGCTGGGAGGTGGGGGGTTCACTGTGTATACATAGGCCTCTAGGCCCAGCTCTGATTTGAGGGGCCTTCCCTCCACTGTTGGCTGGAAGCGGATGGTCTGGGATGGTGGCTCCAGAGTATCCTGAGTCCAGGATTCCCAGACTTCCTGAGGGGGTTGGAAGCCTTCCCAGTCCTTGGAGCCATCCCAGTGGTGGGAGCAGATTGCTGTGTGCTGAAGAGGGGGCTTCTCCTCATCACTATCCCGGGCCCAAGTTACAGGTTGCTGGGCACGTCGTGCTGGAGAGGGCCGATGGCGGCGGCGACGACGAGTGGGTGGGGGGGTCATGCTCATTTTCACAGGGTCCATGGTGCATCGAAGATGGACAGAAGGCTGGGTTTGCTTCTCAGGAGAGGTTAATTTAGTGGCTTCTGTGGACAGGGAAGAAGTAAAACTGGTGGAGAGACTGGCAGGGGAGGGGAGGGGAGGCAGAAAAGGGAGGGGAAACAGGGGGGCCACTATGGTGCCTAAGAGGGAAGAGCGGCAAGAGGCCAGGAGACAGAGACAGAGACAGAGAGAGAGGGAGGGAGAGAGTGTGTAAAAGCTAGGTTGCTTCTGTTCTCCCATTACCCAAGTCCCCAGTCCTGCTTACCATTCTCACAAATGATATGGAATATTCGGTGCAAGACGACACGGAGTCGGCTCCAGAGCTAGGTATAGAAAAACATGGTGACCCTAGGCAGGTCCTTGACACCCCCTAGGCTGCCCTTAGCCATCCCTCCAGAACCCTCCCACTTCTCCTTGCCCTGACCAGGGTCACCATATTGATGCCAATGTTAATGCAGATGACGAGGCCCAACAGCAACAAGATGGAGTTGCCCACGTCCTGGCAGTTGTTGGTGTTAGGGTTGTGATACGAGGCCCACCCAGGCCGTGGCCACTCAGCCATGGCCATGGCGGTCCCTAGGGCCACCAGGGCCCTTAGGCCCCCAGCCTACTGTGCCCACAGTGTCCACTGGTCTACTTGTCTGACCCAGAGGGTCCTGAGGGTGAGCGGGTCACAATGATGTTTGGGCCTTCCCTCATAATGTAGCAAGGGGTTATTTTCAAAGTCTAGGCCTAGCCAGGATTGACCTCCTAGTCTGAGTCAGGCCTTGTCAGAGGCCAAACCCTTTACTGTGTATGCACCAGCCCATTGGCTCTGGCCTTTTGCCATCTAATTCCACCAGTCCCTGCCCCCTTCTGTAGAACTATACCAGGTTCTATCCTGTCTCTGTGCAGACCTAGGTCATGATTTATTTATTTATTTATATTGAGATTGAAGTCTCAGCCTGCTGAGACTCAGGCTGCTCTCAAACTTTTTTTTTTTTTTCTCAATTGTGAGGCCTGAACTCTGGGCCTGGGAACTGTCCCTGAGCTCTTCAGCTCAAGGCTTGCGCTCTACCACTTGAGCCACAGAGCCACTTCTGGCTTTTTCTGCTTATGTGGTCCTGAGAAAATGAACCCAGGGCCTCTTGCATGCAAGGCAAGCACTCTACCACTGAGCCACCTTCCCAGTCCCTGCTCTCAAATTTATGATCCTGCTTGAGCCTCCTGAGTAATAGGTTTTTTGTTTTGGTGCTGGTATTAGGGCTTGAACACAGGGCCTCGGCACTGTCCCTTAGCTTTTTCATTCTACCGCTGGAGCCACAGCTCCACTCCCAGCTTTTGAGTGGTTAATTGGAGATAAGAGTCTCATAGACTTTCCTGCCCAGGGCTTTGAACGTTCACCATCAGACCTCAGTATCCTGAGTAGCTAGGGTTAAGGACACAAGTCTTAATCTTCCAGACAATCCCATTACCATGTCAACTTTACCCTCTTCCTCTCAGGCCTCAGTCACAATGAGAGCCATACTCCTCCCCATGCCAACAACCTTCTAACATAACAGCAGACACACCAACAGTTAAACTTTTATATTTACAATATTGTCTTCATCTTTTGCCAGGTTTAAAAATGTGTACAGAGCCGCAAAGGATTGGGATAGGGACATGGGATTGTTTGGGGGGGAGGGGGGGTCTAGGCATTGGAGTCCGTGGCTGTATCTTGGGGTCCCCCAGCCCCCCTCCATGCCTCACTGGGGGCATCTGCCTACAGGGCTCAGGGCCCAGGTCGCTAGCATTTGGAGGGCATGGTTGTTCCAACAGGAACTAGACCAGGTATGGGGAAGGGCCAGAAAAGAACTTTTCCATGAGTGGAAGTGGGAGAAAGGACAATTGAGGCAAAGTTCTGGGACTCAAGACCAGGGTCTCTGGATCTGGGTGTGTCAGTGAAAGACAGCACCCTATCCCTACTCAAGTTTGGCACTAGCGTTACACAGAAAGCCACACGGCACATGAGGATTCATTTGCTCCCTGGTATCCACTGAAAACCCTTCCTGATATCCTTTTCCATAGAAGGCCAAACCCAGGGGCCTTTGGGCAGTTGCCTTTCGTTGCTTTCAAATTCTTGCTGGTGTCTGCAACAAACCCTGTCCTCACAGCCCCCTCCATCTGCTCCTCAGTACAGCTGACCTCATTCTCTCCCCAACCAACCTGTCTGTGAAACCTTTCTTTTCCTGGTCCCTTCCCCCTCCTCCACCCATTGCTCCTTTCCTTCAGCCCTGCTATCAGGGAGGGTAGGCTGGTTAAAAGAGGAAGGAGAGAAGGTTGGTCTGACCCTGAGATGGGGGACAGCTTTAACGAGGGAAACAGGGATGGAGAATGGGGAACTTAGGCAGAAAGGGACAACTAGGGAACAAGACCACAGGCGGGGTTGGGGGGGGGGGCCTTCTTAGCTGCCACATGCCCCTGCCCTGTGTTCCATCTGCCTTGCCCTAAGACTGGGGGATCCTTGGCACATTTTGAGGTTCTTCCCTCCCCCAAACGTATCTATTCAGTTTGGCACAGATGAGCAATGATCTGAGTACTAAGGGAAAGGCTATCCTTAGGCCCCATGAGGGCTTTGGTCAAACATGCATGGCCTCCATGGGTGGCATGTGCCATGCCTCCCCCCCCTTTTCCCATCCTGTGCCCCTCCAATCCAGCATCTCAGGACTGGTACATCCCCCTCCTCCCCACCCCCAGCTCTGTCAACTTGAAGCTTGTTCCCACTTGCTGTGTGAGTAGGAAATGAGTGCTGGGCCTAAGGCTCTGGGAGGGGCAGGGGATGCAGGGAAAGTGCCTTGGAGAGGGACCCTCTGCCTGGGAAACACACATCCACATGCAACAACATGTTCCCACTCAGTGAAATGTGTCCTGGACCATGGGGAAATGTTTCCAGGCAGCACCGGGATGCACAGATCTCCTTCCTTTCCCTGGCAGGAAATCTGTGTCTGTTGTCTGTGGAAGGCAAGGGCCTCCCCGGGAGAACGTGCTTCATCTGACTTGTGCCATGGGGGAGAAACATGCTTTTCAGGAGTGGTGGGGGTGGGGAGGTGGGGGGGGGGGGAGCCTGTGATTTCCTTGCTGCCTTTCAGGCACCACCATGTGTTGTCTGGCGGCCAAGGGTCACTCTGTGTGATCGCATCACTTCCAGGGTCTCCAGGAGGATCGGAAGGAGGGGAGGAATGGGAAGAAGGCATGAGGGAATAGGATTCTGGGGTACAAATCCCCCCAGAAATTCTTTGAGAGTGCCAACATGTGTCCAGGGTGGCAAAAACAAAAAAACAACAACAAAAAAACCCCAAAAAACAAACCTCACCCTGCACATGGGAAAACACCCCCTTCACGAGGAAAGCACGCCTCCACGCGGGAAAAGAATTCGTATTTCCACATACCGAAGATTGGTGTCCCAACAGAGGGCAAAAAACAGCCCCCAGGTGTTCAAAGGCCCAGGTCCAGGGAAGAGAATGGGCCTCTCTGCACGGGGAAAAAAAACACGCATCCTAGTGAGGAATCCAATGTCCACCTTCACGCTGATTGATGATGTGTGACAACTCCACAGGAGAAACGCTGATGCCAAGTCCTCCTCCCTGCCTTCAGAGTGGCCTGGGCTGGGGAGGGGAGGGGAGGGGAGGAGGACCTCCCCAAGCCGCCCCCTATACCCGAGTGGTGGAGTGGGGATGGGGTAGCGTGTTGTTGTGGCTGGCAGCGGCTGGGGGAGGTGGAGGGAAGGGCCCAAAGGGATGGAGAGAAGGGGGTGGTGGTGGCGGTGGTGGCCCCAGGCCACTGGGCAGCAGGGTCAGGGCCCCCGGGGCCAAGAGAGGCACATCGTCTGGTGCCCGGCGCAGGGCCAGGGTGTAGTCGGGTGGGCAGGCAGGGCGCAGGGCCTCAACAGGGTCCACCCCAACGCCACCACCCCTCTTCAGCTGCAATGAAACCAGCTCCTCTTCTGGGGGCAGCTCACGACCAGCAGCAGGAAGCAGGGGGCCCCCACCGGGCATGCCTGACCCGGAGCCTCCGGGTGGGCTGAGCCGCCGGCACCGCAGCTCCTGCCGCCGGTCCCGCTTGTAGTAGAGGGCGGCAAAGGCCAGGATGTTGAGGAAGAGGAGGGAGGCACCCACGGCCACGGTGACACTTAGCTCTGTGGAGTAGTCTCGAGAATCCCCAGGGAAGCGGTCGTAGGCCCTTGGGCCTGGCTCCGGCTCCGGCTCGGGTGGCAGGGTGGCAGGGGGTGGGGGCCGACGTGTGCCTGGGGCACCCGGAGGTGGGCGAGGTGGCCAGCGCGTGGCATAGGGAGGCAGGCGCGTGGTGGTGGTGAAGAGCTCTGTGTGCAGGTTGTGCAGGTGGGGCACGAGCTCCAGCCAGAAGGCCACCTTGTTGGCCCGGTAGTTGTCACGCACACGAGGCTTCAAGCCGATGTGTAGGTACTGCTTCTCCTTGCTGTTGAACTTGCTCCACACCACCTCCTCAAAGCGGTTAGGCTTGGTGTGGATGAACTTGGTGTCCTGGGGTACCGGCTGGTTGGGGTCACTGTAAGCATAGGAGGGCAAGAAAATGAGGAGTGTGAGGGGGAGGCTCCAAAGGAAAGTTGGTAGCAAAAGGGAAGGAGCAGATAGAGAGGCTGAGAGATGGAGAAATAGCAAGAAAGCCTAGTACTCAGAAGGCTAAGATCTGAAGATCCCTGGTTCAAAGCCAGCCCATGCAGGAAAGTCTGTGAGACTCCTATCTCCAATTAACCACCAAAAAACTGGAAGTGGAGTATGGTTCAAGTGGTAGAGTACCAGCTTTTAAGAAATAAGGAAGGAAGGAAAGAAGGGAAGAAACAAAGAAATAAGGGGAGGAAGGAAGGAAGGCAGGAAGGAAAAGAAGAGAGAGAGAGAGAAAGAAAGCCAATCAGAGAAAAAAAATCATAGAGGCAGAGAAATGGACATGGACATGAAAAGACAAAGAGATTATCAGAGGCAGAGCTGGAGAGACAGCGGGAGGAAGACAGCCAGAGACAGATACCTAGTGAGAGAAGCTGAGATTGAGAAAGAGAACAGAGAGACAAAGACACTTGAGAGACAGCCAGCAACAGACAGTGTACAGCCAGCAGCCAGAGGTAGCTAGAAGTAAGCAGATCAGAGAGGGAAAGGAAGAGATGTCAATGAGCTTCAGGTGAAGAGACAGACCTTATGTCCTTGGATATAGATCTGAGTGTTCAGACAGAGCCAGAGCACTGGTAGGAGGTGGGAGACAGTGGGGTAAGTAGGCAAGAAAGGAAGGAGAAAGCTAAACACCAAGCCAAAGCCACCCAGGGAATCCACCCACAGAAAGGACAGGGGCCTCTGCTAAAGCTCCAAGCCTGGTAGAGAAGGTGTTCAGTAGTGTTTGTTGATCTCAACAGCCAAGGATGGCAAGGGTACATCAACCTGCAAGGGTGCCCCACCCAGACCCTCTGGCCCTCACCCAGTCTTGGCGAAGTTGGTCCAGTAGGTCATGACCACTGCGCTGAGCATGACATCGTTCTTGGAGAAGTTGCAGGGGAAGAGGTCAGTGGCGCCCACCATAGGCACACCGAATACATAGGGCAGCTCATCTCCATGCGCCGCATCTGCCCATTCTGGCCGGCCCTCGGCCTGGCAGTGGTGATAGAAGGTGTAAAAGTAGACAGGGGATTGGTAATCAGCATGTAGCTTGGCAGTGGCCACAGCTGGGGCCACCCATTGGTGGTCAGTAAAGAGTGCCAGCAGAGTCTTACGTCGCATCTCGCCGTTGTCCCGGTCAGCCCAGTCTGTATACATGAATTTGATGGTTTCCCGAAGCACATCCTTGCCCTCTGGGTAACCATACAAATTGTCCACAAAGTTGGAGACAGTGAAGTCGAAAGCACTGGCGGACACACCATCTTCACTCTCTGCAGAATCCTCCACAAACTTGAGGCCCTCTCCCTGGTTGACACCGATGAGCATGTCATAGTTTAAGAATTCTCCCTGCTGCATGAGGATCTCAGGGTCATCGGGGACGACATCGCCATCCACCACAGGCCCAAAGGCAATATGGTAGCTGGGGAGAAGGAGAAAGTTCTCATTACTTGCTCACTGGCCTCTTCTGGGCCCAAGGGCTCACATATGTAGGTGTCTTTTGTCTGCCGGAAAGACCCTTCTCCCCTACTTGAAAACCTCCTAGAGAGCCAGGCACTAGTGGCTCATACCTGTAATCCTAGCTACTCAGGAGGCTGAGATCTGAAGAGCAGGGTTTGAAGCCAGCCCAGGCAGGAAAGTTTGTGAGACTCTTATCTCCAATTAACCACTAGAAAACCGGAAGTGGCACTTGTGGCTCAAAGTGATAGAGCACTAGCCTTGAGTGAAAGAGCTCAGGGATAGTACCCAAGCCCTGAGTTCAAGCCCCCCCCCCCCAAAAAAAAAAAAAAAAAAAAAAACTACAAAAAAACTGAGAATCCCTCAAGGAACTTGTCCTCCCTGAAAAATCTTCCTGAAGCATTTCATGGCACCCTGGGCTCACTTGCTCTATTTAGCCACCTCGACTGAGGGAAGGCTGCTAGAAGAAGGGCACTAGATGGGCCTGAAACCCACATCTCTTTGCCCATGGAATACCTGCAGCCACCTTTCCCCTCAACCTCCTTAGAAACAGGAAGGAGTGTGAAGGCTTGCCCCCAGCCCTCTCCCCCCCACCCATACCGGGCCGGCTGCACATCCTGGTCCACCAGTTCCCGGGATGGCTTCCGGCGTAGACACTCCACAGCTTCAGCACTATCCTCTCGGTCACAGCCCACCTTGGCTGCCAGCAGCCGCGTGTACTTCAGCGGCTGGTAGTTGACAGACCAGCTGGAAATGGCAGTGCCACTCTGGGCAATGGCCTTCTGGAATAGCCCTGATGGGACAGGCAGATATCAGGTGGGGTTGTGAATATCAGCCAAAAGGAGAAGGACTTGGGAGGGTCAGGGCTTTGAGAAGAGTGCGATCAGAAAGGCTGCAGTACCTTCTGAGTGGTGGGAGAGGATCAGCAAGTTGACACAGGAGGCCCCTGCCCCAGACCCAAAGATGGTGATGCGCTCAGGGTCACCCCCAAAGTGGGCAATGTTTTCACTGAGCCACCGCAGAGCCTGGATCTGGTCCAGGAGCCCATAGTTGCCTTTTGCAGCCTGGTCCCCAGTGCTGAGAAAACCTGGGGATACAAAAAGAAGGGGCTCCCTGGAGGTGTCAACAGTACCCTTGGCCCTCTTTCTGGGTACTTTAGTCCAGCCTAGAACCCACTCTACTGAGTTTACTAAACCTGCACCCTAGGCTATATAAGGCTCTTGAAATCATTTGGTCTAGCCCTGCCAAAGGGACGGTAGGCAGGATTTGAAATTTAACGAATGTTGTTCTACTTATCCAAATCAAATAGTCCTTGGTGGAGAAAAAGTTCCCCACTGCTAAAAACCAACAACAACAAAAACCTTTCTACCAGCCTGCCTCCCAGATTCTGCCCCCTCCCGAAGATGGCCACCCACCCTCACCTAGCACCCCAAGGCGGTAGTTGAGCGTGGCTACGATGACATTGCCGTAGGCAGCCAGGACTGAGCCATCAAACATGTTTCCAGTGCCCTCCATGTAGGAACCTCCGTGTAGGAACAGCATTACCGGCTTCTTCCCGGAGTCCCGGATATCTGCGCAGGGAGAGGGTGGCAGGTGGGCCAGGAAATTGAGGATAAGGACACAGTCAGACCAGAAGCAACACATACCAGAGCTCTCAGGCCTACTGAAGACCAGCCAGGAGCTCAGAGGACTTGTCACTCCCATCCCTGGGGGGGCAAGACCGGATTCCCCTTCCTCCCTCCCTCCCCAGCTAGCCCTGGAGGGAGGTTCCCCTCCTAACCCTCGACCAGCATATACCCAAGCGCATCACCAGATGGCTGGACAGACCTCCCAAACAGCCCAACTTTGGACAGGATGGGAGGCGGCCCTCCTTAGGGTGCCTGCTGGAGCCCAGGACCCCTCCACACACACACACACAGTAAATCTCCCTCCTGGTCCTAGGAAGAGGGCACTGAGGCTGAAGGTGCTAGGAGGGTCCTGGCATTTCCTGAGACTCATGCTTAGGCCCTGACTTCACATGGCACCCTGGTCTGTGGGTGAGGGGTGTCAAGCCCTAGGGTCCCTGGGGGCTTGGTCTCTTCCCCGCCCTAATTCCTTTCTAGGTCACCTCCCCAGTTACCATGGCAACCCCCAGCCTAATTACTGTGGCAGGAGGCAGGGTGGGAAAGAGCTGCCTAATGAAGTCAGGATGGAGCTCAGAATCTTAGACGGCACCCCCCCCCCAATACTAGCCTGAGCTCTGGATCTGGCCACAGGACTCCTTCCCTGCCACATCCCCAAAGGATCTTTTAATAACTGCCACACATAGTAGGCCCACATACTACTCTCAAGACTGCATAGGACTGAGGGGTGGGCAATTCCCAGAGGTTGGGAATCTGAGAGGGTCTGCCAAAGTCCCCAAAGTTATAGTCCCACCCACTGGGAGTCCCTCATGATTCAGCCACATTCATGCCCATGCTGAATCACCTGGGCTCTCTTAACCAACCTGTCATCTCTGACTTACCTAGGTACTCAAATAGAAGCTATGCTTGGACCCCCATAGCTGGTCCCTATAACCTGGGCTACCTCCCTCATTCTTTATCCTTTCTTCAAGGCCCAGTAGGTTACCTAGGACATTTCCCCTAGACTCTTCCTAGCTAGTTCCTGTCTTTGTCTCTTTAGGCCTTTTTGATAGTCTCCTGCTCCCAGGTGGGCAGTATCCCCTGTGTGGCATCCCCAAATCCCCTTCATTCCTGACTTTCCAGCATTTTCCAGCCGGAATCTCTTTTCCCTCCAAAGCCTTGTGCTAAAATGTCTTTAATTCCTCACCCTCCTCCCACCACCCCTCTCCCGGTGTGGGGGAGGGGAGTCAGAAAGGGAAGGTTCCAGGAAGAGGGGCTGGGGCAACAAGAATTCAAAACCAACAACAAAAAAGATCAAGAAAGAAGAAAGAAAGAAAAAAAAAAAACAACAACAACCAAAAAGCAAGAAGCTCTGGGGCAGATTTCAACAAGAAAAGAAAAAAATAAAAAGCTCCATCTTGGAAAAAAAAAAAAAGAAAAAAAATTCTTTGCATTTTTTTTTTTCAAAATTTTGTGGTGAAACTTCAAGATATTGGGCCCTGTTTTCAAAAATTTCCAAATGCTTTGATTTGATTCAAATGTTCGCCTTTTCTGTGTCTGACTGGCGTTTTGATTTCTGATGTTTCAATTGTGTCATCAATTTGCCAACTTAATTTTTTTTTTTTCCAAATAGTATTTTTCTCCAAATTAAATTTCTTTTCCAAATGGCACATTTCATGTTTCAAAACAGTCCAAATTTCTTTCAAATTCGAAACATTTTATTCAATTTGTTCTGATATTTCAATTTCCACTTCTTATTTTCACCATAGATAACTTTTCTTGCAGGTTTTCTAGTGGGTCCAACATTGTTCAAATTTCGTTTGAAGTTTTCATAATTTTTTTCCAATTAAAATTTTTTCTTTTCTTTTTTTTTTCACTTTTTAGTTAGGAGAACAACTGAGGGGCCTTGAGGGCTGTGGGGCATTTAGTTAGGGGCAGGGCCATAAACTCCTCTTATAAGCAACCACATGCAGCAGCGGGATTTTTAAATCTACCTGTGTCTGGCGGATTGAGCGTCGCCTCGTCACGTTTTTTTGTGAGCGGACCTAAGACCGGGAACACAAAACAGAGAAAAAAGGACAATTTTGTGGGGAAAGATGGGGGGTCAGGGGAGGTAGTGGATGGGGAGGGGAGGAGAGAAAGCAGAAAAGGGGAGGGTGGGGAGAGGCAGAAAAAATAAGCCAAAAAAAGCAAAATTTGTTTGCAAGAAAAAGAAACCAAGAAAAGAGAAAAACGTTTTCTATAACCCAGTTTTGTTCCCCTCCCCAGAAAAAGTCATGCCCCAAAGAAAAGGTGGGTTTTGTTTTGTCTTTGTTTTTGGAGGGAGGGTAAGGTGCCTGAGTGGTCTGAGGCCTGTCTTAAGACATATGGACTCTTGGCTGGAAAGAATTTGGTTTGTTGTGTATTTGCTAGTTGCTGGAAATGAAAAGGTGTTAGAAGGGGTGGGGTGGGAAGGAGGGGGGAGCCCTGGAGACCAAGGCTAGCTTGCCACCCAGGCCACCTCCCAAGAAGGGCTCCTTCAGGGACAGGCAAGTTGATGCTTGCTGCCCTACCCAGGCTGTAGAGAGGCTAGGCAGAAAGGACTGCTTCCCTCTAGAAGGCTCTGGAGGGTATTGGGCAGAATGGGGTTGGGGGTAGCCTACCCCGCTGTTACAGCCCCCAGAAGCCCTCTGCTCCTCACTGAAAGGCTGAGTAGGTCAGCTAAGGGCTGCCCACCTACCCAGCCTTGCCTGCTGGCATAGCTCTTCCATCCATACTCACAAGGCCTGGCTTCTCACCCCATCTCCCCAGTATGGGCAAAGCAGGGAAAGGGGTTATCAGGTCTTGCCCTCCACTCCAACTCATCCCTCCACACTCCCACCCACCTCATCCCCTACCCAGGCCTCCTTTCCTCCCTCCCCCAAGCTCTACCCACCCCCTCCCCAGCTCCACTGTCAAAGATCCCTCCTCCCCTCTTGATGGGGGTTCATTCTACAACTGAAATACAGTGCCCCAGGCCAGTGTGAAACTTGTGATGTGTGCACATATTGAAAAAATGTGTTGAGAGGGACAGCACGTCCAGAGTCCAGGAAAGGCTCCACACTGGGCTCAGAGGTGGGCACCAGGCTTCTTTCAGGTCAAAGGATTGGTTAGGGAAGAGCTAGAACCCAAAGACCTTAGGGGGTTCCCTCAAGCTGATTTTTTTTTCCCCCTCAGCAGCATGGGCCTTGTCAGCAAGGCCCAGGTTAGCTCTGAAAGATTTTCCTGACAAGGCCAGCCCCCTTAAGGACCAGTGGGGAACAGATTCTTTGTGAGATGATGTAGATGGAGATGAAGTCAGCAGGATGTATGCATGCTTGGGAGAATATGAAGTGTGTGCGTGTGTGTGTGCGCGCGCGCGCGCGCGTGCGCGTGAAAACCTCTTCCTCCTAGAGCTGGTGTGAAGAGTAAGTGAGATCACCTGAATGTGTCAGGCCCCAAGCAGGTCTGCAAAAATGCAATGGTTAAAAATACAGAAGGTGTGGAGGCAGGGACAGAGAACTTGTTTGGAGGTGTTAGTAAGGGACAAACAATTTATGAGAGGTATTGGGGTGGACAGTTCGGTGGTGGGACGTGTTGGTGTTTCACATGGGGGGAGTGATGAAAAAGCCCCCCATAAGGGTGGACAACCTTTGTGAAAGTATTGGGATACAGTCTAAAAGTGGGGTTGAGATGACACAGAGTCTGTCTGGGTAGAGGAACTGGGATGAGGGACTCACAGCTAGGAGGGCCCTGCAATAGGTGGTCCCCCACAGGATAGAAGGGAGTATGGAGTGGATAGTTCTCTTGCAGGTAGCTGGGGGTGGGGGTGGGGTGGAGGAATTGGGGGAAGATGTGGAGAGTGTGTTGGGGTAAATGGTTATGGGAATTAGGGTGCTAGAGCCAGTGGCTCAAATCTGTAATCCTAGCTATTCAGCAGCTGAGGATTTCGGTTCAAAACCAGTCTGGGCAGGGAAGTCTGCAAGACTCTCATCCCCAATAAATTACTAAAAAGCTGGAGGTGGAGCTGTGGCTCAAGTGGTAGAGTGCTAGCCTTGAGAAAAAAAAAAGTCAGGGACAGCACATAGGCCCTGAGTTCAAAGTACTAGGACCAGCATGCACCCATACACACACACATATATTCAATTGTGGGAGGTGGATGTGGATGTGGGAGGGGCAAAGGGTGTGTGTTTGCATGGATGCAGAATTTCATCTGTCAAAAAGGTATGCAGGGGCTGGGAAGGTGGCTCAGTGGTAGAGCGCTTGCCTTGCATGCATGAGGCCCTGAGTTCGATTCCTCAGCACCACATAAAGCTGGAAGTGGTGCTGTGGCTCAGGTGGTAGAGTGCTAGCCTTGAAGTACAAAGAGGCTCAGGGACAGTACCAGGCCCTGAGTTCAAGCCCCAGGATAGACAAAAAAAAAAAAAAAGTTATGCAGTCTCTGCCTGAGGTAAGTATTGTACAAATGATCTCCAGGTAGACTCTGGGGTATATAATGTATGAAAAGTGGTAAGGGTATTGGGTACTGCACAGTGGTGCACATTCAGAGTTAAGAAAGAGGGTATACATATATGTATATTAGCACCTCTAATATACTTAAAGGTGCTAGGGAATTTGGGTCTGTATGAGTGATGGGTTACATACCATTTTCAGGAAGTATAGGTCATGTGTATTCTGTGAAAGTGTTCAGAATTGTGACTTGTGTGGTGTCCTGGGTGGCTGGGAACATGATCTGTATTCAACAGTGGAGACATTCTACAGTGAGAACTGGAGTTTCTGGTCCATATGTAAGGTTGTTGAAAACAGCCTGGGAGGAGGGTTGCAGCAGTGGACTGGCTTTGTGGAGGTGTTGGCATGCTTTGGTAATGGTAAAATGGTATATCAGAAGGTAATGTGGGGGCTGTTTGTGAAGATGGTTTTTGGGGTGGTTGAAATCTGTTGTAGATAGCTGGAAGGTGTTCTGATTAATCTTCCTGTGTAGGTTGGTGGGTAGAGAACTATCTGGAGGCGTGAGCTGGAGCTTTAGAGAAGTCCTGTAGTAGCCAGGAGTTCATTAATAAGAGCAGTAGCTCAGAGCCCCAGGGAGATGTTCTGATAGGGATAGGTGGGCTGGGCTGTGAGGGGAGGAGCCCTTGGCAAAAAGCTTTTCTGATCCTTCAGGGATGTATAAGTATCTCTGTATAAGAGATAGAAATCTTAGCCAGGCACTGGTGGCTCATGCCTGTAATCCTAGCTACTCAGGCAGGAGGCTGAGATCTGAGGGTTTCAGTTGGACGCCAGCTGGGCAGGATAGTCTGTGAGACTCTTATCTCCAATTAACCAGCAGAAAGCCAGAAGTGACTCAAAGTGAGTTGTGGCTCAAAGTAGTACAGCACTAGCCTTTGAGTGAAAAACCCTAGGCCCTGAGTTCAAGCCCCATGACTGATTTTTTTTTTAATCTCTTACACAGAGATAGAAGGGGAAGGAGTGAGTACCATCAACAAAGGCATTCAGCTTAGTTTTGGGGCTCTTGGCCCCCCAGATGATGGCCTGATGTCTGCTTAGGCTAGCTGGGGAGCAGAGAGTTTGTTCTTAATGTGTGGATGTAGCTAAAGTGGGTTGGTATGCCAAACATTAAAAGTGAGAGGTGGGGTAAAGCTGGAGTGGGCATCTGGGCAGGTGATGGAGCCGAGCCATGATCAGAGCACCCAGAAATTAAGGGGCTGGTTGCATGCTTCTTCGGAGAGAGGGCGAGTGAACCTAGTGCCTGCTTACCCTTACCATAGTCTCTAGAGCACAAAGAACTCCGAGAATGGCTGTCTGTGGGTTGCTCCTGTGGCTGCCTGGCAAGCACCCTTACCGTCCTCAGAGGATGTGCAGAGACTGCAGGGATTTACCGCTCCCACCAAGGCCCGGCTCGGGGCCGCGGGAGCGGGTTCCAGCGCCCGAGTGTCTGCGTGCGCGTTTGTGGGCTGTGTTCCACAGGGTCCCCGGCCTCGTGCCCGCGCCCTTACCGTCCTCGGTGGGCACGTAGAGGTTGAGGTACAGGCAGTCCTCGCTCTGGTTCTGAACATAGGTGGCGGCCGCCTCCAAGTTGTCGGTGAACCACACAGGTAACATGATGGCCGGGAGGGCCCCGTGGAGGTTCTGCGGGCAGGCGGGTGGCAGGGTGGTGGCGTTGCGCACGCCGGGCCACGAGGCGGGCGCCTCAGGCGGCTGGAAGCGGCGGGCACCCAGGGGCGGCGTGGCGTAGGGCACGCCCAAGAACTGCACGACGGGGCCCAGGATCTCGTTGTTGAGCTCGCGCCGCACTCCGCGTACTCGCCCGTAGGCTGTGTTCACCACTGGGAAGCGCTCCTCCCCGAGGCTGCCAAGGCCCAGGCCCGGGCCGCCGGGGGCGCCTCCGCCGGGACCCCCTCCCCCCCGTTGAGCCCCAGCCAGCCCCACCAGACACAGCGCCAGGAGCCACATGCTGATCGGGGACCCCCCCCTCCCTCCCCGGGACCCCCCCCCTCGGAGAGAGAGAGAAGGGGGGGGAGAGGGAGGGAGGCCCCCCTCGCCCCAGGAGGGAGGAGGGGGCGGGGAACAGGAAGGAGGAGGGGGGCTGGTAGGGACCTAGGTTAGACTGGACGGAGAACGGGTCTGTTCCTCTCCATGGAGGGGGCAAGGGGTGGGGAAAGGGAAGGAGGCCGAAGATGGTGCAGGCAGGCCTGACCTGCGGGAGGCAGAGTGGGAAGGGCAGGATGTGCAAGAGACAGACAGACAAGACAGACAGACACAGAAAGGCAGAAGGGAAGGGAAGTTGGATGGGTCGGACAGTAAGGAGTGGGGAAACAGAAGACAAGTGGTTAGTGACTTGGATTTCAGACCAAGTTGTCCCGTTCTTCCACCCATTCCACCCCACCCCCAACACCTCCCTCAACCTTCTTCCCTCAACACAGACCCATGTTGGGGGTGGGAGTGCCATGAAGCAAATATCAGGACAGGGAAGGTGAGCATCCCAAACCTAATGCTACCCTTTCTAACCTTTTGTTGTTGTTGTTTTGTTTTTTAGCTTTATTTTTTTTGTGTGGTGCTGGGGGAATCAAACCCAGGGCTTGGTATATGCTAGTCTTCCCAGGTTCTTTATCCCAGACAAGTAGGCTTTCTCCCCAGAGGCACAGGAGTCCCTGTCCCCACCTCCCCGGGAGAGGGAATGAGATAGACAAGGAAGAGAAAAATAAAAATACCAAGTCATTAATTAGCAGGAAGTGGCGGGTTTGTTTATACGTGTTAATTACTCCTGAGCTGTAATTTTATGGTGCTGAACCCCCACCCCAGGCCAGACTGGGGCCTTTCTTTGGACTGTACAAACCCAGCATCTTCTCTTCTTCAACATACCATTCCCTAAGGACCTAGGACCCCCTTTCTCCTCAGGTCCTTACATTTCTTCCCTCAGAAGTTGGGGTGCTTAGAGGCAGGAGTTAGAGTAGGGAGGGGATGCTGAAGGGGCAAATCCAGGGACAGATGCGTGATCCTGCAGCCGGTTGCCGGGCGACGGGATGCTGCCCTGCAATGTTACCTCGGCAACGGGCTGCAGCTTTAACCCTGGAAAGGGGGGGGGGGGCATCTAGAGAAAAAGGGGAAGGGGCTGTCTTGGTTGTAGAGTCCATTCAGGGCACGAGGGAAAAGGCAGAGGTGTTAAGTCAGAATGCTAAGAGTTTCCCCAACCTTAGCATAGAGGAAGAAGTATATATGCAGATTAAAGGGGAACCTAGGGGTACAGAGAGCCATAAAAAAATCTCTACCTTTGGCCTCCTCACCACCACCTTCTTAGCTAATCATAGCCCCCAGAGCTCTAGTGACCAGACCTCAGGCTGGGGAGAACGGGTTGCTAAGGTGGGCTTGAGGCAGCAGCAAATGAGCCTACTAACTGCCCCCTCCCACTCCACAGCCTTAGACCCCCAGACACCTCTTTTTTGCACAGCATTTTGACCTATGTACTGGGGGCGTACTGAAGCTTTCTTCTTATCCCATCCCATCCCATCCCATCCATTCACCCTCCCCTTCCCCTTGCCAGTTCTGCCACATTTACTGCTCTCAAGCCTGGGTTGCTCAGGGCAGCAGGGGCAGGACAGGGACAGATCAGACAAAAGGGGCAGACACCCAGGCCATTTCAAGAAACCCCCCCACCCCCCCCCCCTCAACCAGCCGCCAGAGCTGTTTGCTGACACGGGGTTTTCAGAGCCAGGCGCCAGCCCGCGGGTGGCTCTCTGCAGGTGTCAATTTATTCCAGAGATGAGGACACAGGAATCCTTACCACTCACACCCAACCATGCCCTCCCCCTCTTTAGGTCTGGTTAAGCTCCAGTTTGGTCTTCTATCACATAGGTGGGGGCGAGCTTGGTTTACTCCCCTAGGATTTCCACTTCTCATATCAAGCTGGGCTCAGCCACCTTGGCCTTGCTGCTGTCTCCCCCTCACCCCCCCCCCATCAATTGGGCCTGCTTGCTACCCCTCTTCTTTTAGGATACTTTGGGCCCCTGGCCTCCTCCCCTCTAGCCAGCTTTCTCTCCCTTCTTTCCTCCCACTGGAGCCCCCCTTCTCTCTTTCTCTCCCCCCCTCCTCATCTTTCTCCTCTCCATAGCACTCCCTCAGAACATCTTTCCTTGGCTTTTTCCAGCTTGCTCCAGCTCTTGCCTACAGTCTCTCGCTCCTTAGTCTTTTTTCATTTCACTCTTGTACATCTCTCTCCTTGGTGCTCCTCATCTTTTTCTCCTCCAAATACCTTCCCCAGTTCTCTCTCTCTCTCTCTCCCTCTCTCTCTCCTTCCCTCCCTCTCTCTCCCTCTGTCTTTCCATGTCTCTATCTCCCCCATTTTCTCTCCCCATCTCTTCCACATCTTCCTCCCCCTCCTTCTCCCCATCCTTCTGCCGCCCTGCTTTCTCCATTCCAGCCCAGGCCTGACTCCCCCAGTCAGGAAGAGTTGAGGGATGGGGGCTCAGGCCGCAGCCCCCCCCCCCTTCCCGCAGTGGGGAAAATGGCTTGGCTGGGAAGGGGAGAAGGAGGGGGAGGGGGAAATGGGAACACACGGGGTCTGTGGGCCCATTCAAAGGATCATTCATGGACTGGAGAGAGGCAGAGACAAAGAGACCAAGACGCAGAGACACGGCGAGAGCATCCCTAGGCGGAGACACGCAGACAGAGCAGGCTGGGGGAAACCGGGCGCAGGAAGAGAGAAGGGGAGGGAGACCCCAGTGGACCGCCACACAGCCCCCCCCTCCCCAGCCTGACTTAGCTCCTACCTGGCTCAGCCCTGGGGCCGTGGTGCCTCCATCCAGGGCTCCGAGTAGGGGGCGGACGGGCTTCAGGAGGGGGGCGGCGGCCTCTGAGCCCCCGCGGCCCCGCAGGCCCAGCCCCCGCCCGCAGCGCCTCACCCGGCGGGGGAGGGGGATCGCCCCAGCCCCGGGGGGCGGGGCCGGGATCCAGTCGATCCCCGGGAAAAGAGAGCCTAGGGTATGAGGTCAGGGGGAGCCCGAGAACAGGGAACCCCGCAGTGGGGACAGCAGAGCCAGGAGGGGGCAACAAGACAGTACTGGACCGGAGATCCAGTGGCTCTTGTGCCGGCTTCGAGGGACCAGAAGGCGGTCCAGGCGGATGATCCTAAGGGATCGGGTGCTAGAGGAGGCGTCCACGGCAATCCCCAGGGGCCCGGGGCCTCGGAGCGCAGGATCTGCGGTGTAGGGGCAAGGATCCAGCCGGAATCCTCGGGGAGGGGGAGGGATCTAGTCGATCCCGAGGGCGGGCGGGCGGGCGGGCGGGAGGGGGAGGTCCAAGGAGTCAGAGGAGGGCGGGAGCGGAGTCCAGAGCCACAAGGCAGAGGTCGGCGCTGCTCCTAGGAGGAAAGGCGGGGGTGGAAGAAGGCTTCAGCATCCAGGAGGCCCGGACTCCTGGTTCTGCGCGCCAGGGCCCTCCCGCCCCGCGTCCATCCCAGCTAGAGAGTGATGATCCGCCGGCGGAGCAGCCGCAGCAGCCCCGCGCGTCACCGCGCGGCCGCCTCCCCCGCCCCCCGCCGAGAGAGCCGCGCACACCCCTCGTTCGCACCCGCCTGCCCGCCCGCCCTCCGGAGTGTGGGGGGGACTGGAGACGGTGAAGGGGGCGGGAGTGGACAGACGGACGGATGGACGTAGCTGGCTGGGGCAGGGTGGAGACATTTTTCCGGATCTCCCACCCGTGCAGCTCTCGGGGGGTCGGGGAGGGGGGGGGGGGGATTTGAACTACAGAGGCGGGGCACCATGCGAAGTGGGCGGGGTCTATGGCATCGAGGCGGGGCCATCCATAAAGTGGGAGGTGCTTGGTGTCGGTGGGTGGGGCTTAGGTATCCGTGGAGCCGCCTCTTTTGGGGAGTGGAGGCCCAGTTTGTTGGTGAATGGGAGGAGCCTGTGGGGAAGGAGGCGGAGCTCTGCGTTGAGCTCGGGAGCGTTGGAAATTAGCCGGAGGTGCGGAGGGGGGGGCTCCAAGAAGAGATCAACTTGGAAAGTGGGCCAATCCGTGACGCAAATCCTTCAATCCCGCCCTCAGCCCCGCCTCCTACTGCTAAGCTTCTCTGCTTCTAATTGGTTCTGGTTTCTCCGCCCGCCAGACGTCTTCACCACTCAGTAGCAGTTTTACAAAGGTGGAAGTACCCGGGTGAGGACCTAGGCCCTGAAATGAACACGGTCCTGATTGGGGACCTCTGGACCTTACTCACATGGGCTACCGGGATTGGCTGGCTTCTTGGGTGGCCTGGGCGGTGTTCTTCCCGCGCGTGACCGCCTTCACTATGGCTGGGCTAGGGTCTGCTTTCCGTCGCTTAGGTGCCTTGTCCGGAGCAGGGGCCTTGGGCTTGGCCTCCTACGGGGCACACGGTCAGGGGCTGAGGACGTATCCGGGTTGTACTAGGGCCAATCTCTGGGGTTGGGTGCAGGGGCGAAGCCCATTGGAAATGCTCGCTTCCTATTGACTGGGCAGCCCGTGGAACCCCAAATCTTTTAAAGTCCTTCAGAATGTCTGCTTGGTTTACACTATTGCCAGACACGTGTTTCCACCAATCAGAAGCTCCGTGGGGGTCGCCCTTTTTCGCTACCTCAGTATCTCGGGATTGGGTTTAACCGGGGATAGGTCTAGATCTAACCTTTGCCTCTACTCTCCGCAGGCGCCCACTTCCCGGATGCATACGGAAAGGAGGTGAAGTAACTTTGCTGGGTTTACCCTTTGGCTAATCTACACAGAGTGCGCTGGCCCTGCGCGTGGGGGTTGGAGTCCGAGCACGGGTGTAGGGAGCAGAAAGGGCTGGAAATCTGTGGTAGGTGTGGGAGGGGGCTGAGGGAGTGGCAAGGTGCAGGTTCAAGGATGGTGGTGATGGAAACTAACTTTGGTCCCTGGGTTGCTTAGTCTCCCATGGCTTTTTTTTCCCTCTCTTCCTTACAGCTGTTTGACAAGGCCAACAAACACCACTTCTTACACAGCCTGGCCCTGTTAGGAGTGCCTCATTGCAGAAAGCCCCTCTGGGTAATTTGTCCCACTGCCTTTCCCTGGTCAAACCCCCAACCGTTACTCCTCAAACAGCTCTATTCTTACAGACTGTGTTCTGCCCTTTCTTTCCTTCAGGCCGGGTTGCTGCTAGCCTCTGGAACTACCTTATTCTGCACCAGCTTTTACTACCAGGCTCTGAGTGGGGACACTAGCATCCAGAACTTGGGCCCCGTTGGAGGGAGCCTACTCATCTTGGGCTGGCTTGCCTTGGCTCTTTGAGATCTCATTTGTTTAGTTACTGAGTTTTCTGGGCATTTATTTTTTTTTAGGAGTTGGGGCAGAAAGGGAATTAAAAGATAAAAGCAAATAAAGAACTTTCGAGTCGTTCATCATCGAGAAGAAGGGATAGGGATTCAAGGTTTTGAACTACTTCTGTTTCCTAAGACAGCCACGCGTCCCCGTTTTTGGAGATTCTGTTCAAGTTAATTTGTTTTATTCTTACAATGGTAGATATTGGAATCATAAAGAATGTTTAAAATACCAGAGATTCCTGTAATTCCAGCACTGGGGAGGTGGAAGCAGAAGAATCAAGAGTTGGAAGCCTGCCCAGAGCCTGGGCTATATTATGAGATCTATTTTAATAAAAATGGAGGAATGGGCTGGGATGTAGCTCAGTGGCAAAGCACTTGCCTAGCAAGTGCAATGTCCTGGGTTTGATCACCAGTACCAAAAAAGAGCACAGTTTAAAAAAAATGGAAGAAGATTGTTATGAGGCCTAGTAATCTTTAAACTTGAGAAGTAAAAGGAGGATCTTGAGTTCAAGGCTAAACTGGGCTATGTAGCAATTGGAGACCAGTCTTAGCTATGTAGTAAATAACAACAAAAAGGATTCCTGGTGTCTGGTTTGAAAGATTGTGAGGGTCAGCAGTGAGAGATAAGGATCACAGGGCCAAATGGTAGGGGGCCTTAAGCTGAGAGGTTGAAATCTCCTGGGAACAATGTGCTGCTGAAGTATCAATATCTAAGGAAGTGGTGTGATTTGAAATATGTTAGTCTAGAGGATCCCATACTAGTCACAAACTTATTATTATCCTGCCTCCTCCCAAGTGCTGGGATTACAGGTATATGCCACTATGCCCATTTAAAACTTACTTGAACTCATGGCCTGGGTGCTGTCCCTGAGGGTTTTTCGTTGTTGTTTTGCTTTGTTTTTTGGCTCAAACCTGGCACAACTCTACCTTCTGGATTTTTGGTGGGTAACTGGAGACAGGAGTCTCCTGGATTGGCTTTGAGCCACAATCCTTGATCTCAGCCTCCCAAGATGCTAGGATTACATGTGTGAGCTACTGGTGCCTGAAGAATCCCACAAATCCATCCTAGGGTACCTGCCAGAGGTAGGCAGGCCCAGGAGAAAGATTATTACAAGGTTTATTAGAGGAGCCATATTTCTCTCAAGAGAGAGGTCATGGCATCCTTCACCGTCCAGGTAGCAGGAGGGGTCTGAGGGTTGGAAGTGAGGTAGATGGGATTTCAGGAGGGTCTAGGCTGTATGGCGGCAACTCCAGGGATGGGAAGGGCGCAGGTCTGGGTGGAGCCGAGGACCAAAGGTAAACATAATACCAACAGTGCCCATCCTAAATATTATTTTAAAATGTTAAGTACGGCCCCTCTGTATGGTATTTTCACAATAAAAAAAATTTTTTTTTAAGTTTTCTTTCTATGGGAGAAGGAAAAAAAATGTTAAGGACGGGCTGGGAAGGTAGCTCAGTGGTAGAGCCCTTGCCTTGCATGCATGAGGCCCTGGGTTCTATTCCTCAGTACCACATAAATAAAAAGCTGTTAGCCGGGCGCTGGTGGATCACGCCTGTAATCCTAGCTACTCAGGAGGCTGAGATCTGAGGATCAAGGTTCAAAGCCAGCCCGGGCAGGAGAGACCGTGAGACTCCTATCTCCAATAAACCACCAGAAAACCGGAAGTGGCGCTGTAGCTCAAGTGGTAGAGCGCTCGCCTTTTTTTTTTTTTTTTTCCTTTTTTTTTGGGGGGGGGGGGTCCGGTCGTGGGGCCTGAACTCTGGGCCTGAGCACTGTCCTTCAGCTCTTTAGCTCAAGGCTAGCACTCTACCACTTGAGCCACAGCACTACTTCCGGCTTTTTTCTTTTTGCTTATGTGGTGCTGAGGAATCGAACCCAGGGCCTCATGCATGCAAGGCACGCACTCTACCTCTGAGCCACCTTCCCAGCCCAAGAGCGCTCGCCTTGAGCTGAAGAGCTGAGGGACAGCGCCCAGGCCCAGAGCCCCACAACCGACAAAAATAAAAAATAAAAAGCTGTTAGTGGCACTGTGGCTTAAGTGGTAGAGCTAGCCTTGAGCTGAAGAGCTCAGGGACAGCGCCCAGGCCCCACAATCGGCAAAAAGAAAAAGTTAAGGCCAGCTGGGCACCAGTGGTTCACGCATGCAATCTCAGGAGGCTGAGATCTGAGGATCACAGTTAAAGCCAGCCTGGGCAGGAAAGTCCGTGAGACTCCAATAAACCACCAGAAAACCGGAAGTGGTACTGTGGCTTAAGAGGTAGAGTGCTAGCCTTGAGCTAAAGAGCTGAGGGACAGCGCCCAAGCCCAGAGTTCAAGCCCCATGACCGACAACAACAACAAAAAAAGTTAAAGCCAGCTGGGGACTGTTGGCTCATGTTTGTTAGGAAAGTGGAGGATAACAGAAAAGGAATAGATGGGGCATGATCCTTAACAGGCTAGGACTGTTAATCACCAGTGAGGGGCATAGACCTTCCCATGGTTTTGGAGGGTTTGGAGGTTGTATGAGGCAGTGTATTTGGGGCTGGGTTTATTTGGGGCTTTAATGAAGAAGCAGAAAATAAAAAGTAGGCTATGGTCTCTTGGAGGCCAAGGTTGGTGTCCTTGGCAAGGCCCACAGTAGTAGAATGAATGCTCTTCCTGGGGTGAGAGGCCTTTCAGCTAAGCCTAGATCAGAAAGACCTGCCTGCGGGCAAGCATGTGAGTATGCACCTGGTGTCATGCTTGACCTGGAGGAGTAAGGCAGGAGTCAATCCTTCATATTCCATCTTTAGGTACACAAAAAGATTGGGCTGAGAGGGGAGCAATATGGAGTTATTAGAACAATACCTGTAATCGTAGCTACTCAGGAAGCTGATATCTGAGGATTATAGTTAGGAGCCAGCCTAGGTGAGACTCTTATCTCCAATTAACCACAAAAAGTAAGAAGAGGGCTGGGAAGGTGGCTCAGTGGTAGAGCACTTGCCTTGCATGCCTGAGGCCCTGGGTTCGATTCCTCAGCACCACATAAGAAAAAAGCTGGAAGTGGCGCTGTGGCTCAAGTGGTAGAGTGCTAGCCTTGAGCTAAAGAGCTGAGAGACCGCGCCCAGGCCCAGAGTTCAGGCCCCACGACCGGACCCCGCCCCCCCCCCCCAAAAAAAAAAGTAATACCATTTAGGGGCTGGGAAGGTGGCTCAGTGGTAGAGCGCTTGCCTAGCATGCCTGAGGCCCTGGGTTCGATT